TGGAGGAGAGAAAGAAGCACCTGTCCCAGGGGCAGCCTGTCAAGTCAGTCACCCAGTCACCTTTTCTTCCGGGAGACCCAGCGTCAATAAGGCCCTGATTTTGCTTTTCTCCTGCAACTTTAGGACAAGTAGTCCTGGGGAGCTTTCAGCGCCCTCGTGAGGGTTGCTGCTGCTGCCCCTAAAATAAAAAAAGAGAGGAACTAAGCCTGCCTTGCAGAATTACTGTGAGGAATGCCCCATCGTGACTGTCCCATTAGGTCTGGAAATATGTGACTTCTATTTATATGGAGGAGAGAAAGAAGCACCTGTCCCAGGGGCAGCCTGTCAAGTCAGTCACCCAGTCACCTTTTCTTCCGGGAGACCCAGCGTCAATAAGGCCCTGATTTCTGCTTTTCTCCTGCAACTTTAGGACAAGTAGTCCTGGGGAGCTTCAGCGCCCTCGTGGAGGGTTGCTGCTGCTGCCCCCTGGTGGCGCCTTATACCTTATGGTATCTAAGTGAACTTCTAACTTCCTTCTGGGAAGTAAGCGCTTGATGATATTTAAAATTCAATTTTAAAAGTAATTTATTGAGTACATATTCTGCTAGGCATTAAGGACACAAAGACAAGACAAAATTCTTGCCTTCTAAGAACTCACAATTGAGAAAATTCTTAAGGGGGCAGCTTGAATACAGACCAATGTGATAAGTTGTAGTAAAAACTATGGCTCCTGACTTCTGGTTCTGGACTAAACGGAGTAGACACATTTATACCTGTTCCTCCCACTAAGTAAAGCTAAAAACACCTGAGTGTTATAAGAAATATATGAAAACTGAAAAGTTGAGAGAAGCCAGGACTGGACCGGAACCCCTCAGGACTGAGGGAATGACCTGGTGCTGAGTTCCTGGGTTTGTGCTTGTCTTACACATCCTGTCAGGATCCTGGAGAAGTTGGCAACCCAGCACACCAGTGGACAACACCCCCACCTCCACCCTCACCACTACCACTCCCCCACTCTTACCCCCCCAAAAACAGTCCCAAGAAAAGCCTGCTCCCTCTAGCCAAGGGACCAGGAAAGGGGCAGCCTAGCAAGATCAAACTTTTAGATAATAGAGGAAAGGGGCAGCCTAGCAAGATCAAACTTTTAGATAATAGTCATAAACACCAAAGTTTGTGGTGGGGGGGAGATAAAGGAGAAAGATGGAGGGAGTGAATCTAACTAAGACATATTGTAAACACTTCTGTAAATGTCACAATGTACCCCCCCCCGTACAACTATAATATGCTAATAAATAAATAAATAAAAGAAAAAATAAAAACAATTGAAGTTAAAAATAATGACAAAATTAAATATAAATTGAATGATCAAAAAAAACCTAAGTCCACAGAAAAAATGGTAGAAAGCCTGAATAGGAACCTAGACTTCTACCCTCACTTGGCTATATGCACCTGGTCTCCTTCCAGGTGGTGGTGGAGGAAGCTAAGTGGAGGACTGGGACTCTCGTCCCCACCAGTGGTTATGAGGCCTCACCCGGGGAAGTCAGCGGGGGCCACTTGAGAGGCCCTGACGTCCACATTCATCAGCAGGTAAGGATCCCCCTCCCTCTCTGCTGTGGTAGTGGCAGAGGAGGCCTAGCGGAGAGGGGAACCGAAGCCTACTCAGTGGTAATGAGGTGCTTTCTTCCCCCTGCCTGGGTGGTGTCCGAGGAGACCCCAGGGGACGCTGGGACTCTGTCCACTTCTCTGAGATGAGGAGCCCCTGCCACCCATAATGTCAGCGGAGGCCATGTGGGGCCAGGTTGACAATGAAAGAAAAGAAAAGGAGAAGACTAATTCATTCTCAGGTGAAGGACAGGTGAGAGAATTTGCCACAGAGCTATGTTAGCAGGATGACTGAAAGTTTTTGAAACAGAAAAATGATTTTTAAAAAGGGAAAGAGAATGAAAACAGAAGGAATGTAGGAGCATCAGGAAAGATATAAAAACAATTAAAAAACAGTAAAAATATTGTGCAGATTCACTAAGCTATCCTTCTGAGCTATCTAAATTAATATTTGATGGCTGAAGCAAAAATTATAACATTGTCTGATATGGCTATCGTATTTGTATAGAAAATATTTAAGACATTTATAGTAAGCTTTTTGTACTATAATACACTTCACAGGAGACTGTGGTAAGTTATGTGTATATAAAGAGAAAATTTTTTTTAAATTTTATTAGCATACATTATGGTATTTCACGCACACACATGTGTAAAATGTACTTCGATCATACCCCTCTCGCTCTCTTCTTTTTCCCTCTCCCTCCCTCTGGTTCTACCCCAAACAGTCCCCCTTTTACAATCATGTCATATTATCTTTATTTTTTGGGTCTAGATTCCACGAGTGAAAACACACATTTGTCTTTCTGATCTCAGTTTATCCCCCTTTCAGTTTATCCATCCATTTTCCTGCAAGTGACACAATTTCAAGAGAAAATATTTTTAGAAATCTATACGGTAGTCCCCTCCTGTCACCCTTTTATTACAGAGAATTTAGAACATATACAGAAGTAACACTGACCCTCTACATACACACCACCCACTCAAACAAAACAAAACAAAAACAACCAAAAAAATCCCAGACAATCCCCTTACGCTTGCTAGGCAGGTGTTCTACCACTTGAGCCACTCCATCAACCCTTTTTTGTGTTAGGTATTTTCTGGATAGGGTCTCGTGAACTGTTTGCCCTGGCTGGCCTCAAACCAAGCACTATCCTCCTGATATCTGCCTCCGCAGTAGCTAGGGCTACAGGCATGAACCACTGTTGTCCGACTCAGTCCCCTTATTCTTGAAACCTGTTCTTCACTGGATTTCTGATCATGAAATTCTTCTAATTTCTCTCTTAGTCCATTTGTGCTGCTATAACGATATACCAAAAACTGGGTAGCTCATAAACAACAGAAATTTTTAAATTTACATTTATTATTATATGATTTTGGCAGTCCTGGGGTTTGAACTCAGGGCCTCTTACTTGCTGGGCAGGTGCTCTACCACTTGAGCCACTCCTCCAGCCCAACAACAGAATCTTACATCTCATGATTCTGGAGGCTGTGAAGTTCAGTATGAAGGGCCCAGCTGATTTGGCACTTGATGAGGAACCACTTTCTAGCGATCTAGAATCTAACGTGGTGGGTGGGGCAAATGAACTCCCTTCGCCTTATTTTATAAGGGTATTAAGACCATTCCCTAAGGTGTCATCCTCATGACCTAATCATCTCCACAAAAGACCCTACCTTTTAACACCATCACATTGGTGAGTAGGCTCCAACATGGATTTCAGGGGAGCACATTTACATCATAGCATTCTATAACCAGTGGACACTTTCCTGTCCCCTCCTGTTTCCAACCCCTCAATCACAGCATGCTCATCTAGGTCCAGGGTGATAATTTTCTTTCTCCCTTCCTCCCTTCCTCCTTTCTTTCCTTCCTTCTCTCCCTCCCTCCCTTCCTTCCCTCCTTCCTTTTCTTTCTTTTGCAGTACTGCGGTATGAACTCAGAGCCCCAGACTTGCTAGACAGGCGCTCTTACCACTTGAACCATTCCACCAGCCCTTTTGTGTGTGTGTGTGTGTTGGGTACTTTTTGAGTTAGGGATGCGCCAACTATGTGCCAAGGGCTGGTTTCGAACCATGATCCTCCCAATCTCTGCCTCCTGAGTAGCTAGGATTACAGGCTTGAGCCACCAGTGCTGGTGCTCTGATCATTTTCGGATGACCTCTCTGCCTCGGTTTCTCCCCCAAACTCCAAATTCATATATTTAACTGCACACTTCACATCTCCCCACTTGGAAGAGGGAGAGGGTGCACACCAATACTTTAGGGCTCCCAGTCTTCAGACCTGTGAAAATAAGTTTCTGTTTCTGGTCCTTTATTATGGCAGGCAGCCCAAGAAAATGCATACAAAAGGAAAACGGAGGAGCATAGGGTAGTAATCGTTGAGGGCTTTGGAAAAGCAGAGTATGACCAAGTTGCAGCAACCAGGCAGAAGCAGAATGACTGAATTCAACCATGTGGACACTTGGATCCATGACCTTCAACCCAAATTCAGGTAACCACCCTTCCTTCCATTCTCCTGAGTTCCATGCATCTAGAGAAAAACTTCCCCATCTCTGAAACCAGCCTGAGTTCCACAACCAGAGAGAGAAGTGAGGTGGGCGACATGGCTGGGTTCAAGTTAAATAAATGGATTTATTTTTGGCAGTCCTGGGGATCAAACCCAGGGCCTTATGGATGCTAGGCAAAGCGCTCCATCACGGAGCCACACCCCAGCCCTTGGTGTTCTGAGACGGGGCAGGGCGGGGGGGGGGTGTCTCACATTTCAGCCCAAGCTGTCCTTGAACTCAGGGTCCTCCTTTCCCCCTCGGCCCCCCTCCACTCCCCAGTGCGGGGAGTACGAAAATTTAACTCTCAACAATTCTTTCGAATTTACAGAAAATTAAAGCCTTCCCCTATGAGATTCTCTTCCACAAAGGGCTCAGAGTGATTTAAAACCGGTTTGATTCAAACCATTCCAAATTCCCTCCCGGAATGAAGTTTTTCAAGGCTCACCCCCATCCACGCCTGCGCACTAATCGCCCAAACGCGGCCCGCAGCTCGGCAGAAACGTCTGGACACGCCCCCGAAGCACCGCCTCTTTAAATTTTAAAAACGGACGCTCAGGCCAATGAATGCTAAGTTTGTCCCGGAACCCAGCGCCCCGCCCACAGTCACGCCCTCCACCAATCAGGCTGGAGCTTTTCCACCGCCCTTCCATTCGGCCACAAAAATGGAAGTGCTTACGTAACGTACGTAAGGCAAGCAGCCAATAAGAACTGACCTTGGAAACTAGCTCCGCCAATAGCAGCAGCTCTTGGGGAGCGCGGGAGCCTTTCGACCAGGGCTCCTAAGGGAAGCAGTGAATGGCGTTTGTTCCCTGAAGCAAGAGCCTAAGGAAAAGCGGCACCGGGCCGGGACCGGAGTCCCTGGGCTACTTGCACGGCCGATATGGCCTGCTGTCACAAAGTAATGCTGGTGCTGGACACCGCGGGCGGCGCTGCTCGTCACAGCCGGGTCCGGCGGGCAGCCCTGCGGCTCCTCACCTATCTGAGTTGCAGATTCGGCCTGGCCAGGGTCCACTGGGCCTTCAAGTTCTTTGACTCGCAGGGGGCGCGGAGCCGGCCATCCCGCGTGTCCGACTTCCGCGAGCTGGACACCCGCTCTTGGGAGGATTTTGAGGAGGAGCTGGACGCCAGGCTCGGGGATCGTGCCCACTTGCCGGGTCCCTTGCCCCGGTCCAGCCACACGCACAGCGCCCTGATGGAGACGCTGCTGGACTACCAGTGGGACCGGCCCGAGATCACGTCGCCCACGAAGCCGGTCCTGCGGAGCAGCGGGCGGCGGCGGCTGCTGGACGCGGGGAGCGGGGCGGAGGAGGCCGAGACGGCGCTCGGGGGCTTCGGGAACGCCGTGTTCCTCCTGGCCCCCTGCCCGCACTCGCAGAGGGAGCTGCTGCAGTTCATGGCGGGCAGCGAGGCCCAGGCCCAGCGCTCGCCGCCCACGCCCAAGCAGGTGATGGAGAAGCTGTTGCCCAGGAGAGTCCAGGAGGTCATGATCGCCCGAAGCATCACCCTGTACTGGGTGGACACCACCGAGCACTCCAAGGTAAGGAAGGAAGGAAGGAAGAATGGCGGTCGGAGGCTCCGGTCCAGTGCACCGGGCACCCCCTGCGACCTTGAGCCCGGCGACGTCTGGAGACTCCATTGAGCCGGCCGTGACCTTGATCTCTCCAAGAAGCAAGCTCCCATGGAGTCAAACTGCTTCTGGACTGGACTTTCCTACACCGCCCTGCATTCCGGCATCTGCCTCTCAGCTGGCCTTGACTGCTTACTTGCTTTGTCTTATCTCGACCCCAGGCCTCAACCTTCTCTGCCAGGCCAAACCCCTAAGACCCCGCCCCAACCCTTAAGTTCTTACCCGAGCGACAGCCAGGTCCTCGGCCTCTGAATTGCAACGCTTTCTCCTTCTGGCTCTTCCCCTTCATTGTGTCCCCCCTGTTGGCTCTTGTCACCTTCCTTCTTGTTTAACTGTGTGTCAAAGGCAGCCATCATTCTTAGATCTTTGTATCCTCGACAAGTGTGTTGGATGGACGTCCTGGGTGTTCAGTAAATATTCAGACACCGTGGATAAGTTTTTGCAAACTGAAAGTCTTACGTGGCTGGTTTGGATTTTTGCTAAGGCAGTGAAGCCTCTTGCTCTGAGTGCTCTGATAAATGTGTATTTTTGCCTTTTTCATCGTTTTCCTCCTGTTACATTAATGAGCCACTACGCTGAGTATGTGGGTATGACCCTGTTTTAGCAGTGGCTTTTACCTTCTGGTGGGGAAGATACAGTAAACAGATAAAGCTGTCATTTAAACACATGAGTGAATAAATGTTAGTTAGCAGATAAAGCTAACAGACTAAAGAAATGAGTAATAAGTGGTAGGATTTCAAATCATGCTCTGAAGAAAAGCTGGGTGAGGGAAGAGGGAATGGGAATCAGGCAGGAGAGGCAGGTTGTTGTTGTATATAGGTGGTAGTCAGGGAAGCAATTTTTAAGAAGAGAATTTAGCAATAAAAGTGGAGGAATGTTTGTTGATTGATTGACTTTTGCTGCACTGCAGCTTGAACTCAGGACATCAGGCTTACTAGGCAGGTGCTGTACCACTTGAGCTACTCCACCAGCCCAAGGAAGAAGAATGTGAAGGCTGGAAGGAACATTCCAGGCATACAGAAGACCAGGTGTAAGAATTTGAGCTAGAAATGAGCTAGGAGTGCTGAGCCCTAGGGAACAATGCAGAGCACAATAGAAGTCAGAAAGTACTAGAGGCTAATCCACAGAGCCAGAGTCATAGTGTAGACTGTTTTTTTGTTGTTTCTTTTTTTTGGCAGTGCTGGGGTTTGAACTCAGGGCCTCACACTGAGTTGGTTTTTTTTGGCAGTGCTGGGGTTTGAACTCAGGGCCTCACACTAGAGCTAGGCAGTGCTCTACCACTTGAGCCACTTTCAAAAGGCCCTAGATCATGTTCTAATCAAGGAGAAGACTTTGGAAGGTGGTTTAACCAGATCAAAGGTACGAGTCCTCTTACTGGAGATCCATGTCATTAAAACCCGAGTGGGTTAAGTTGCAAGATTACAGATGGGACATCAGCACCATATAATCGTATGGTTAAGATTTCCAGCATCAAGAGTCTTGACAAAGGCAAAATAAAGCAGCAGTGGTTTGTCAGAGAAGGAAAGGAAAGAGCAAAAGTGTTCAGGGGGTGGTAAACTCTTGATGGAGACCAAGGAATCCTAGAAATCCTTGCTAAGCAGCAAGTTAAGTATTACACATGGTACATGCCACAGCAGTGCTTGAGCTGGGGTGATTAGATCAAGTCGTGTCAGCCTTTATCCTGAAATTGTGTTATGCTAAGTACTGACTAAAGATGAGTCTGAGCAGATGGGACTCAGACTTTTTTCCTCTGGTTTTGGAGTAGGATTAAGATTAGTGGGCCAACTGAGTCTTTTTAAATATCCCCCCAGATCTGACATACCACTGTCTCGGGGATGGACCCTCCCTGTGGCTTTCCTTCTCACACTGGCCGTGTTTCCTCCTCTTAGAGGAAGTGTCCAGCAGAAAATCTGAACTCTTCTGGAATTTGTTTCTGCTGAAGGTGTATCTTTTCCGCTCAGAAGCCTCTGCCAGAGCATGCCATGGAGGCAAATGGCCGGCTCCAGCCATGGGGAGCTCACAGTCTGGTGAGAATGGGAGAAGCAGACCCTGGACTCAGCTCGGATAGAGAGATGGATCCAAGCACATGAAACATTGCCCAATATGGGATAGCGTGGAGGCTGGGGCCCTGCCACATTTTCCACTTACACCTCTGATTTACTCAACACGGTCATGGCACACCTGCTAGGTGTGCTGGGGACTAGGTCCCATGGGAAACCAAACAGACATCCTTGCTCCCTCCCTCTCTCTCTCTCTCTCTCTCTCTCTCTCTCTCTCTCTCTGTCTCTCTCTTTGTGGGACTGGGTTTAAACTCAGGGCTTCACACTTGCAGAGTAGGTGCTCTACCACTTGAGGCACACCTCCAGTCCATTTTGCTCTGTTATTTTGGAGGTGGAGTCTCATGTACTATTTCCCCTGGGCTGGCCTCCAACCATGATCCTCCCGATCTCAGCTTCCCAAGTAACTAGGATTATGGGATAAGCTACTGGCACACAGCTTCCTTGCTTTCTTGGATCTTAGGTTTCACTGGACATTTTCAAATCCCTGTACTTGAAACTACCCGCTAAGGACATGTCTGTCACTTACCCTATAATATGCATAAAAATGAGAAATGTACCTATTCTCTGTGTACTGTTTTTTTAAATCATGTGCATACATTACTTGTCTTTTTCAACTCTTACTTAAGTTTTACCTTCCGTTTGATAAACAAGCCCCCACCCCCACCCCCAGCTGCATCAATTTCTTTTTCCTTTTTGCAGCACAGAGGTTTGAACTCAGGGCATTAAGCTTGGTAGACAGGTGCTCTGGCTGAATCTATTTCAACAGATTTTTGTCTATCCCTTGTAAACAAATCAGGATCTATGGCCTCTGAACTAGCTTACTGTTCTCCCCCAAGAGTAGCAAACCACATAGATGTTAAAAAGAATGATTTTTCAGTACTTTGCAGTTTGCTATGCATAACTGAGACAGAAATTTCAGAATAGATTATCTTTCTCTACATGTGGTATTTTTCTATTTTTTCATTATTTAGAGAATACTTTTAATTTTTGTAATCAAACCCACATAGGTAAGAGCTTACATATTTCATACGGTGCATTACCCCTGTACAAATGGAAAAAAAATTAAGTTTAACATTTGTACATCAATATGGCTGTTAATTTCCATACAATGCCAACTCAGCACTCTAAGTCATGATACTTTTCCCTACAAAGTTGGCAGCACAATGTTTCCAAAAGTTTAATATATGTATTTTTATTTATATAAAAAGACCAGTAATAGCATGTTATACATCAATAATATCAACAGCTTTTCCAGGTTACATGTGGAATTTTCAATTAAGCTTTATATTTTCTTTTTCTTTTAATGCTGGCATAAAGCATTCAACTGATCCATCAAAGGACCAACTGGGCTGGAGTCATGGCTTGCAAGTGCAAGGCCCTGAGTTCAAACCCCAATACCAAAATAAACAAAAAGGATTCAGCCAGGCACTGGCGGCTCACGCCTGTAATTCTAGCTACTCAGGAGGCAGAGATCGGGAGAATCGAAGTTCAAAGCCAACCTGAGCAAATAGTTTGCAAGACCCTATCTTGAAAAACTCTTTACAAAAATAGGGCTGGTGGAGTGGCTCAAGGTAAAGACCCTGAGTTCAAACCCCAGCACTGCAAAAAAAACGGATCCATCCAGGTCCATCAAAGCGCTATCAAGACAGTGTTGGATTCTTGGACTGGTCTATCATTGCCTTGGTACCCATATCCATGGGTAATTAATTCCCTTCCCCTCTTTGAACTTCAATACAATGGAAAGTCAGGAGATGACCCAGATAGCCTTGAAGAACCTTCTAGTTCTAATTTCTCCCCTTCATATAGCAGTTTATAGCCTATAGTTTATTCATCTTAGTCTGGTCTCACTCCTCTGTATTCCCACAGAGAGCATTGTGGTGTTGTATTGGGATGCTCTTGAATATTTCGTACCATTACCGTTTTATTCACCCCACCCCCAACTTGGAGATCCTAGAATACAGAAACTGATTTTTACTATTTCCTGTCACATAAAGCTTGTGAAAGAACAGTTTGTTGAAAGAATTTTAACTGAGGCTCAACATCCTATGTGTGAAGGAGTGAGATGGGTCTTTCACAAAGAAAGCAGAGTCTGAATGAGATACAGAAATAGAGTAAGCATTCAGTTAGTGAAGGAAGAAGGGGAAAGCACAGGAAGTAAAATCAGCATTTTAAAAAGTGGGATGTATGGGGAAATAGCAAAGAGTTGAGTGTGCCTTGAAAGGAGGGACCGGTGAAAGAAATGGATGACGATGTGCTTTGGAGAAGTTGCTTAGGGCTTGATTGTGAAGGCCCTCACAGTAAGGCTGAAGAGTTCTTTGTCCTAGAGGCAGGGGGGGAGCTTTAGTAGCAGGATGAGCTATGGAAGAACACTTAAGAGCAATGGAGGAAAGGAAAGAGTCAGGGCACAGGTTTCACAGGGCATGGTTCAGGAAGAGAGGATGAGGTTTCAATGAGAGCAGGAAGAACAGACTGGACAAGGCAGATGGTCCCCATCTAGGGGAGGTGGCCTCCTTCCCTGCCACCTGGTGACTGTTGTTTTGCGTAGGACAGAATTATTTTTCGTAATGTATAATGGTTTTGTCTTCCTTCTTACTCTTAATATTTGATAAATTTTATGATTTATACCCAGCGATTTGCATCACTTCTCCTTTGACATAAAATATAAATGAAGTCTGTTTTCACTGAGTGCTTTCTTGAAGACGTATTATATGGTACTTATGTTTTGGGGCTGTATGGTAATGAAAGCTGGCAACTATTTGTATTTGGTTTAGCAAATACGTTAATTATGCAGTTTGATCCTTTAATGCTGGTAGTAGCCTTGCTTTCTTCCAATTTCCTTTAGTCTTACAAGAGTCAACTTTACACTAACCCGAGCTTCTTGGTCGTTTTCATTTTAGCTGTGGGATTCCCCAGACCACATTGGGTACTGGGCGGTTTGTGAACTGCTCCACCATAGAGGAGGCACTGTCTTGCCATCTGAGACTTTCAGCCAGGGTTTTACGCAAGGTGTGGGAACGGTGCTGGGGGGTGAAGGAAAGCTGTCAAACAAACCTCAGCCGTCTCCGTGGCCTGCAGCCCTGCCAGCTGACGCCGCTTTAAATCGCTTGCTGTGTAACGCCCCTGAGTATGAAACCTCATTTCCTCGGATGGAAGGGGCACTATTTCTCCCTGTTCACGGTAAGCAAGTAATGTTTGTCTCACGTCTTCAATCTTCAAGGCAGGCCTGGGCTTTGGACTTCTCCAGCACGTCCCACTTAGAGCTTGTAATTGAAAGAATTTAAAAATGCAGAAGCAAATCAGAGGCACTGCAGGAAAGGATTGAGCTCTAGTGTAGGACAGCTGCTGGCTCATGTATAAACCATGTGAATTTCCCAGCTATTCCAAAAGAATAGTATTGTTCAGGTGCCCAAACACATGGGTGTTAAGGTTTCGTTGCCTCATAGAAAAGGTTGGTAAATAGAAGACCATAGAAAAACAATGACTGACTAAAAGAAGAAATAAATTAGTCTACAGAACTCCCAAATGATGCCTGTTACCAGGAAAAGCCTAAGGTCAGTCTCACTTCTGAATACATTATATTCACCCAAAAATAATACTGCATAGAGTTGTATATTAAACTGTCATAGGTTATATGCAGTTTAAGGAATTTTTTTTTGGTGGTACTGGAGTCTGAACTCCAGCCGTTGAACTTAAGCACTCTCCCACTTGAGCCATGCCCCCAGCTCAAGGAATTTTCTTTCTTTTTTTTGGGTGGGGGTGGTACTGGGGTTTGAACTCAGGTCATCACACTTGCTAGGCAGGTGCTCTAGCACTCCATCCACTCCACCAGCCCCACAGCCCAAGGAATTTTCAAGAGTTCTTTGGTCTAAGCAATTTTACAGTTCAGCCTTTAGAATTTAACTTTGTTATTAGGTATTTTTTAGGCTTAAGGAGTGTAGGAGTCTTTTTTAGAGGGGAGTGGAGACTGGGGATCAAACCCAGGGCCTGGCACATCCAAGACAAGTGTTCTGTCACTGAGCCACATACCCACCTACCCAGGTAGAGGGTTTGTTTTTGTTTTTTGTTTTTTGTTTTTGAGACAGGGTCTCATTATGTAACCCAGGCAAGCCTGGAATTTGAGATCCTTCCACCTCAGCCTGCTGAATGCTGGGATTGCAGGGGTGCACCATAAGGCCCAGCTAGGAGCCTTCTTTCTTGTAAGTAGTAAGTATTGCTTGAATACACATTTCTAAATTATGATTACTGAGAAGTTCTGACATCACATCTTGCCTTTATAGTTCTGTTTGTATACAGCTTTTCCCACAGAGCTGAAGGAGCTTGCTGTGATAGCTTCTAATGGTAGAATAAGTGTTGAAATGTGACCTAAGTGACAATCTACTAATACCTCAACTGGAAAGATGATTTTTTTTCTTCTTACTGAGAAGTCTCTTCTTATTAACTATTTTTGTTTTGTGTTGGGTTTTAGTTTTTGAGGCAGGGTCTCTCTCCATAACCCAGGCTGGCCTGGAACTTGTTATCCTCTGCCTCCTAAGTGTGTCACCCTTCCTGGCCTTGTGACTGTCGCTATGCAGTATTATTTCTTGTGAATATTATGTATTCAGAAATGTGATTCACCAAATAGCAAATCACACCAGGAAGCAAATTTACAGCCATGTGCTACCACACCTGGCCTAGTAACTGTTTCTTCAAATTTTAACATTCTTTATTCCTAACAGGCAAAGAGATTCAAGACACATGGACAGTCACCCTGGAGCCCTTGGCCATGCATCAGAGACATTTTCAGAAACCAGTCAGAATTTTTCTGAAAGGCTCGGTGGCCCAGTGGTCTCTCCCAATGAGTGGCACTTTGGGCACTGACAGCTGGATGCTACAAAGTCCAGAGGAGGACACATCAACTCAAAAGCTGTTATTTCAGCAGCTAGTAAGCAGGCTGGCTGCTGCAGAGTTACAGCTGGTAGGTGTCCTTCCCACGCTAAGCAATTCTTATCTGATAGCACAGGGATCTCCCCACATATCGTAGTGTCTATAAAACTGAGGGTGTCTTTGCAGATAGCACTGTCTGCACTGTAGAATCATCAGACCAGTGCCATTAGTGAAGAAACCATTTGAAAAACTGCATGTACTTTGAATCCAGTTGAATTCAATACCTTTGATTCACAGAGAAAGAAAGTGGCTGGCCAAATAGAATGGTCATGCTAGACTATGAAGTGGTGGTTTCTCATTATTTGTTAAATGTTCTGTTATGTACTTAATACTTTAACATGAGTATTTAAGAAAAAACTGATATACTGTAAAAGTAGACATGGTAGTATCCACAAAAGTTACTCAAACTTAGAAATGTCTTCTGAAAAGGAACATAAATACACTCAGATTTGACTTAAAGGTGGTGGCTATTTTTCAATTCCCAGCAAATTCCTTACTTTACTTTATCTTTGCGTTTATACTCTCAGGAGGCATCTATAATGTGGATCCTAGAAAGCTGGGTGTGGTGGTACATGCCTGTAATCCTAGCTACTTGGGAGGAAGAGGCTGGAGAATCAAGAGTTCAAGGCTGGGCATAATTAGCAAGACCTTATCTTAAAAATAAAATAAAGGGCTGGAGGCATAGCACAAGTGATAGAGTGCTTGTCTAGCAAATTTGAGTAGGCAGCGGGGTGGAGGTGGGGACTAAAGAAAAAGAAAAATTCTAGAGAAAACTGGCATCATCACTGAACAGATGCTGTTGTGAGAGTTGTGTGCTCTGGAAAGAGCACTGGCTTGAGGAGTGAGGCTATCTGGATTAGAACTCAGCTTTGCTGCCCACGCTATGTTCTGGATAAATCCTTCAGTGGTGATACTGCCTCATGGTCCAGTGTGCAGATTTTGAAGTCAGATACGCCTAGCATCTCCCCATATTAACAGGGTGACCTTTAACAGGTTACTTCTTCCTCAGCCTCAATCCCTCCTCTACAAAATGGGAACGATAATCAACTTGAACTCAGAGTGGTTTTGAGGATACAGTGAGTACATGAGGGGAGCTTAGTAGATATTCCTGGCAATGTAAGATTTTCATGTGTGAATTATAACTTAGGGACCACATGACTGATAAACTCTCTTCCCCTCTAATAGCCAACCATTATTCAATGTTTTCCTAGGCTCTACTCATCAAGCGTATTGTCAACAATATTCTCAACTAATTAGAATTTTTTTGTAGGTTGCCAGTGTGGACCCTGGTGAAGGCTGGCCCCCCATCACTGGAGTTATTTCCCCACTCTCTGCCTGTGCTATGGTTCTCACTGTGTTCCGTACCCAGGAAGCTGAGTTTCAGAGACATTTTCTCCACACAGCTATGGCTGGAGACCCCCAGGATACAGCTTCTCTCTTCTCAGATGTTGTGGATGGCGTATTGCGTCAGATTCCTAGTTCATATGAAGATCCTGAGTCTGGTAAGCGTCCAAGCCTGGGACTAACTGTCTGGTTGTTTTGCACTGTTGTTTTCCAGTGTCAGAGTTTTCAGCATGCGCTTAGTAGAACCCCAGTACATTAGAAGGCAGATACAAACAAGCTACAGTATTTCAGGCAGTTTAAATATGATTTATAGAAATCCTGAAACATTTCTAAGGAAGCCGAGGGCTCTACGAAACCAGTTTGAAATCAATGTCATGAAGTGAAAGCCTGGCTTTTAATATATTTAATAAAGACCGCATGTAAAACTATAGTGATTCTGTCTACCTTGTATTTCATTCTGTTATTACTAATATGATATAAGCCTTAAACTAGGTAGATTTAACTATAATCAGCTTGATCATTCTTCAGTTGACTTGTTTTTTCAACAGATTTTGCTGAGTGCCTACTGTATGCCTGGCACTGTTCTAGGTCCTGGAAATGCACAAAGGTCTCTGTTCTCATGGAGTTTACCATTTAGTTGGGGGAAAAAATGACAAAGAGAAAAATCAGTCTATTTGAAAGACAAGTGCTATAGGAATAAAGCAGGAAGTAAGGAAAGATGAATGTTGGGTAGGAAGGTTACAATTTTAAACAGGGTGACCTGCTACAGTGGCTTGAAGGAGGTGATGGAAGTTGCTGGTAGAGGCACCAGCAAGTGCCAAGGCTCCAAAGAAAGGTGTGTGCTGTGTCTGGTGTGTTAGAGAGATAGAGGTGAAAGGGTCCAAGGGGAAGAGGAGTAGGAGGTGAGGGCAGAGAGCCAGCAGAAGACCACATTGCATAGATAGGGCATTACAGAACACTGAAAAGACTCTGGCTTTTACTGGAAGTAAGAGAGGAAGCCTTTGAGGGCTTTCCCACAGTGACCACAATCTGCCTTACGTCTTCCAGCACAACTCTGGCTGCTGTATTGAGAGCCAACCAAAGAGAGGTAAGGATAGAAAAGAAATATGCAATTATCCAGGCAAGAGATGGAAGTAACAATACATTAGAAGTGGCTCTATTTTGAAGGGAAAGCCCACAGGATTTGCTCTTGGATCAAGTTGTGGTGTGACATTCATGGCTCTACAGATTCTGTGTGTATGAAACTAGTAGAAAGCAGTTGCCTTTCAAGATAGGGAAGGCTGTGGGAGAACCAGGGGACCAGGATGGTGGGGTTTGTTTTAGTCTGAATTGTCGATTGGGCATCCAAATACAGAACCGAGTAGGCAGCAGATACGCCTGTGTGAAGTCTGTGCTAGAGACCATAGGAGTCATTGATGGTGTTCAGTCATGAGATGAGCAGGTGTGGTGTCTGCAGATCTGTAATCCAGTACTAAGGAGGCTGAGGCGGGAGGATTATGAGTTTAAGGCCAGCCTTGGCTACATAGCGACATTCTTTCTCAAAAACAAAACACAAATCCATGGGTGACAGCTGTGGGCCTTCTACACTTTATTCCTGGGCTGAGGGATCTAAGTAAAGCCATGTGATGCATTAAGATAACTGAAGTGGTGAGTGTAGATGGAGAGGAAAAGGTAACCAAGGTGGAAACTCTAGCGTTTCAAAGTTAAGCGGCCTGGGAAATGAAACCAGCAAAGGAGACAGACCAACAGGGGTAGTCAGTGAGTAAAAGAAAAACCCGGAGTGCAATGCTCTGGAAGCCCTGTGAAGAGAGAGGATGTGCTCAGGTAGGTCGGGGAGGATAGAGGCTGGGAGCAGACATTTGACTGAGCAACGTGGAGGTTATTGATGGTCTTGATACCAGTTTGGTAAAATTGTGAGGGTGGAAATGGCGGAGAGTAGGTGCAGGAGAGAGTGTGGGAGAAGGGAATGAAACAGCAAAGGTGAGCAGTTCTTTGGAATTGCTTTGCTATAAGAGTAGAGCAGTGGAGACAAGGTTCAGGAGAAGGGGAGGATTGTAGTAAGACATGTTTAGGAAGGTCCGATCAGAGGGTTGATCTTAGGTACATACAGAGCCTCTTTGGTAACGGGGGAAGGCCAGGATGCTGGGGCATGAGTGGATATGATGAGTTTATGGGGTTTTCTTTAGAAAGCAAAGTCATGAGCTTGCTGAAGGTTTATGGGTGTGTCAGTTGAGCAGAGGGGAGGAGCAGGAAGTGGTGAGTGGAAGGTGAAGGTGGTGAGAAATGCAGAAGTTTGCTAGGTAGTCATGAATGGAAATGAAATCCCTCAGCAAGCTTGTTCACCTTCCGTCACAGTCACCTGCTGGGGACAGCTACAGAGCAGGCAGAGATCTTCATTAACCAGGGTTGGGATTTTGCCAGGTGAGGGCAGTGGAGCTAGAAGGATCTGAGGAATTCTGGAGTGAGCAGAAAGGGAATGTAGTGACTTTCCATTCAGGACCTGGAGGGGAGCAGGGACAACAGAGGGCAGAGGAAAGGTGGCAGGTCCGTGGATGGTAGGGAACCATGGGTGTTGGAACAAATGCACTGAAGAAATATGTACATTTCTTCCCGTATTTATTCTCAGAGACCTTTACTCCCTTGTTTGGATTTTCGGAAGTGACAACAAATGCAGTTAGAGGACTTATGCAGGGATGTGATATGCTATCATGTAATGTGATGGAAAGTTTCTTTTGTTTATTTTTTTTTAATTTAAAAAGTCTTATTCTAAAAATAATAGCTTTGAGAAAACTAGGGTTGGAAGAGACTTCTCAAAACCTTTGGTAGTTGGCTGGAGACGCAACTCAGTGGCACAGTGCTTGCCTAGTATGTGTAAGGCCCTGGGTTTACTAAAACCCCAGCACCACAAAAAATAAACAAACCCAGTTAAGCAAAGAAACAAAAAAAACTTTGGTAGTAGCAAAAAGTAATTTAGCAATCTAGTTTAATTATTGGGACAATAAAGTCACAAGTAAACACTGTAATACATACATTTTATTCTTTAAAAAGAAAGGTGAAGAGGTGTGGCAAAAGGGACTGAAAGGAGGGTTGAGCCTGGGTGAATGGCAAAGATAGAGAACTGTACAGTAAGCACATTCAAGAATGAGCGTGCAGCCAGATAGGCAAGAAGAGCAGGGCTTGAAAGGGTGCTGTGTACAGTGCTGTGTTCTTCTGGCTTGTGTTCTGTTACGTTTGTCCTTTTCAAAATCACTTGGTGCTACTTGATGGCGTGTTATGAATAACACATATTAACTAAAACAACACAGAGTCTTTGCATTATATCATTATCTTATTTGCCAGTCATGTGCAGGCTATTTGTATTATAGACAGTTTCTGCTGTGGTAGGACAGACATATCTTAATTATTTATAAAGTCATAGAAGCAGGTCAGAAACTGTATTTTGGGATGAAGTAGAAGAAGAATCAGTATTTTGCCAGTGCCCCATGCTCTGGCCTGGTTTACAGTTCTCTGAGGGTATAAGTCAGTGTGCTGACTTATTGTCCAGTCTTCCCATCACACCGTGTCCAAGTTAAGGTCCTACTCATGTGTTAGTACCTAGCCGAGATATCATGTTCTCTGTGAAATCTTCCTTGTCCACCTAGACAGCTAGTGTGTGCTAACATTTGTATCTTTACGACAAGATTCTAGAGTAGGTCTACTCTTCCCACACTGCAAACGCCTTTCAGAATTGGCACTGCGTTTTATTTATCTCTGTGTTCTCTCACTGAAACAGGACCTAAAACTTGACAGTCTCAGTATGAGTTTGAATACAGTTTAAGAACTTGAAGGTTGTGTTTTTCTTTTTTTCCTTAGACTTCCTGAATATATAGCATTTCATTTGTCCAGGTCTTAGAACGGCCTCTCAGAATTCTGGGTTTACTGAAGTTTATGTTAGCATTCTAACCACAACCTCCATAAGGCTGGTTCTAAGAGAACATACTTGTGTGTTGCATAACACAGTGCCACATCTTACTATTTCAAATTCACCTACGTGATGCAGCAGAGTTGTTAATAGTCTGCAGTGTTACGCTGCTCTTATATTACTGTATTATCTGTTCTTGTATCAAAGTCACTTTTAAGAAGGGGTTGTATCCCTTTTAAAGAATCAAAAAATAGCATATTTTTAAACTTATTTAGAGGAACATTTCAGAAATAAGAATTGTTGCCAATAGAAGGAAAAAAGCCTTCAAATTGTGTTTGCCTTTTCCCAGACAACACAGGCCTGTAGGAGTTGTGGTTCTGACAAAGGCATGCTCTTATGCTGTTTTGGATGTCCTTGGGAGGGAGGTCATCAGTACAAGGGAGGTGCAAGTGCTGGGAGTCTCTGCTGTGGTTCTGACACCTTCTCTCCTCTTCTGCTTCTGTCCCTGGGTTCCTGTAGTTCCTCCTGTTCCAGAGTGGGCCCAGCAGGAGCTTGGCCACACCATCCCCTGGAATTCAGCTATTGTGGAAAAGTGGTTCCCTTTCTCTAACATCAGCGGTGCCAGTTCAAACTTGATGGAGTCATTTTGGTAACACTTTTATTTCTCTGGTATTGATTATTAAAATCAAGTCTCAGTTACCTGCTAATTTTTTGTGTGTGTGTGTGTGTGTTACTAGTATTTGAACTCAGGGCCTACAACTTGAGCCACCCCACTCTTTTTTGTGATGGGTTTTTCAAGATAGGGTCTCAAATACTATTTGCCTGGGCTGGCTTTGAGCCATAATTCTCCTAATCTCTGCCTCCTGAGTCACTAGGATTATAGGTAGCAAGCCACTGGCACCCGGCACTAAAAATTTTTAGTTAAAAGGAAATTGTCAAGTTAAATATAAGTAAAACACTCCCATGTTTATTGATGTTAGAAAACATTTACAATTAAGTATCAGTAAAATAGCAGCTGAAATAACTAAAAGGATTATTCATAGACTTAGATGATTATTCCTTTAAAGAAGAAAAGTTCAGAGCCAGTTTTTAAGAATCTCGTACAAGAAGACAAGAGCTGGGCATGGTGGTACTAACCTATAATCTCAGTACACAGGAAGCAGAGAGGAGGGTCCCGAGTTCAAGGTTAGCCTGGGCTGCATAGCAAGACTCTATCTAAGAAAAAACCCAAAAAAGTAAACTAAAGATGTCTCTTTGAAAAGTCAAATACAATAAACCATAATAAGATTGAGCAATTGAAAAAGAAACAATATAAACTGTATTAAAAATGTACAAGATAGAGCAGAAATGCAAACTATTATCCAGGTAAAAGTTGAGGTGGTTTTTCTCCATATAGTTACCCAGTTAGTCCAGCAGCACTTGCTAAAAACAATCTTTTTTCCCATTGCATTACTTTTTTTCAATACCAGGGCTTGAACTCAGGGCCTTCACCTTGAGCCACTCTACCAGCCCAATTTTTTGTGATGTTTTTTTTCGAGATAGGGTCTCACAAACTATTTGCCCAGGGTAGTTTCGAACTGTAATCCTCCTGATTTCTGCCTCCAGAGTAGCTAGGATTACAGGCATAAACTACTAGCACCTGGCCTATTGTTGTTATTATTATTATTATTTGGTAGGCCTAGGGTTTGAATTTTTATAAGTGTGAATGGTAACATGTTTGAACATAATGTGATTATCTTCATAGAAAGTCCAAAAGATTCTATGGGCAAATGATTAAAGTGATAAGCAAAAATAAGCAGTGTTGCTGCATACAAATATCAATATCTAATTTAATAATATACCAACAAACAATTAGGAACTGTAATTTACAAAGGTCTGTGATGGAGCCCAGTGGTATGGGTAAGATCCTAGGCTTGGACCCCAGCACTGCAAAAAACAAAAGCAAAAAAATCCAACCTTTAAGGAACATAGGAATAAATGTAACAGGAAATGGATAAGGATAAAGGTACAAGGGTATTCCCTGTGAGATACGGAGATTTGCCATCAAAGTACAGCACGTAGGTGGTATGGTGTCGATGCATCAACAGACCGGTGGAAGAGAGTCCAGAAAGTGACCCTTGTGTGTCTGGGAACTTGGTGTACAACAAAGGTGGCATTATAAGCCAGCAGGGGAAGAATGGATGCAGTTTAGTAAGTGACAGTTGAATCTATAAGAACAAAGATAAAAAGTAGATTTCTATAGCAGAGCATGCATAGTAACACGTTTCTAGGAGACTAAAAAGCCAAATGTGAAAAGTGAGACATTAGAGTTGTTAGAAGAAGGGGGTAAAAATTAGGGGAATAATAGGGTAAGGATGGATTTTTCTTTTTCTTTTTTTCCTGAAACAGGGTCTTAATAGGTAGTCCAAGGTGGCCTGGAATTCTTACTCCTCCTGCCTCAGCCTCCCAAGTGCTGGGATTACAGATGCACACTGCCACAGCCAGCTCACATATTCTTATACTCAGAAATTCCATTTCTGGGCATCTACGCTAAAGAAACTCTTGCTCAGATACAATGAGGAATATGCTTTAATGTTCATTGCTAGTCATTAATAGTGAAAAAGTGAAAAGAACCAACTACCTTCAAGGAAAGAGATGTTAGATGCAGTAAAGTCCTATAGAGGACTATTGTTATGGATTAGTAAAGATGAATAAACTAGAGCCATTTATAGCACATGCAAAAGTGAAAAATATATTGAGTACAAACTATTGCAAAAGGGTGGTATTGTGTGACATCATTTATGTAAAACTTACAAGGTAAAATAGCAGTTTCTGTTTTATTGTGTATGTCTCTATGTAAGCTTGAAACAAATACAGGAATATCTCTGGAGGGAAGGAGTGGGAAAAGATGGAGTGGGGCTTTATCTGTGTTTATAATGCTTAATTTCTTTCAACAATCTGGAGCAGCTATGAGAAACTATTAATAAGTAAATTAATAGCAAAAAAAAGAGAAAAAGGTAAACCCTCCCCACTGTCAAAGGTATCACCAGCACATTAGAGAGAATTAATCTTCTGTAGATTGTCTGAATACAAAAAGGTGATAGCTTTGCACACTGCTGACCTATGACATATGTGCAACAATGTCACTGTAACTTTCTCCAGTTTTTAATCAGATGATACCTAATTATGGAAGATACTGAAATGCAAACAACACATTTTTGAATGCTGTGCTACTTTCATAATTTAACTAGTGATGTTTAGGTGGAGCAGCAATTAATAATTAACCATCCCAGGTGCCCACTTCTCATCAATCACACATTAGTTTTTTTAGAACGTGGAAGAGTTATTCAGAAGTCACTGCAATTCTTACTACACTGTGTTATATCATGTGGTACTGTAGTGGATGGAAACTGAGCACACAATAGCCATGGAAGCCCAGAGTGAAGTAGTTGCCATAATTAGGTATGTAGCCTAATTCATGAAGAATCCTATTAATAAAAGTCACTCCTACACACGGAGATTAATGGTTTCATAACAAGGCAGTTTTGGTCCTTGAGATTGTTGAAGTCAAAAATGAGAGGAGGAAAAATGATAAAATAAAAGAAAGAAAGAAAAAAAATGAGAGGAGGGATGTGTTCCCTACTCAGAAAAAAAATATTTTTAGGCATCTTGTGGGGGTATCTTTTGGTAAGCTTTTAAGAGGACAATGGATTTTTTTTTTTTAATTTTAAAAGCATTTTGGAATATTAGAATTTTGCCTTTATACTAGACATCTTGACTTTGCAGGTTACTACAGGCTGCCTCAGCTAATAAGGAAGAATCTTCCAAAACTGAAAGTGAATTAACACGTTGCCTCTCGGAGCTGTACCAGAGAAAAGCTCATGAAGACTCTACTCTTTCTAATCAAGAACACAGAAAAAAGAAACGTATGCACATGAAAGGCAGTTTTTTTTTTTTTAAGACTGTACATTTTAAAGATTGACATTCCCTGAAGTGAGACTGAAATGAAAACTAAGTAAACTAAGTGAAGATAAAAGGAGAACTGAGTAAAAAGGGTGACAGCATCCGGCAGTGTAGCCCAGGCTGGCCTCCAGCTCGAGATCCTCCTACCTCAGCCTCCCGATGCTGGGATTGTAGACATGTGCCACCACATTCAGCACAAGGGCAAATTTGAAAACAACTGACTAGTCCAATAGGATAAAAACAACCATTCCCAATCTACCTTTCTAATGAATGACCCATCTTCATTTTTAGTTATAACAGAAATTCAAATGCAACTTTGTATTCTGTTTGTAAATATTCTTTCATCTGCTACTTTGCCTTTTTTAAATTTTTTCCCCAGTACTGGTGATTGAACCCAGAGCTTCATACATGCTAGGCAAATTTTGTGCTGCTGAGCTATGTCCCCAGCCCCTACACTGCCTTTTTAATTATCTATCTCACTCTAACAACACTTCAGAAATTTTCATGTTGACCATTTAGATTGTCTTCAATCAATACTTTAGTATATAGCCATACTTAAAATTCATTCATTGAGTGATTCATTAGTGATTTCATTTAGTGATTTCGTGGGAATAAGTTTTTATGTTAAAGGATATGAAAATTGTCTCGCAGAAAAGCTTTGTTGCAGTGTAGGGCTCTTGCCAGCATGCACAAGGCCCTTGGCTCTATCCTCAGGACTGCAAAAAAAGAAAAGTTTCATCACCATCCTATGGCCATTGGTTAATGCCAAAATGCGTGGGTTTGGCATTTGTAAAAATCACTGAACTGATTAGTTCCTGAACATCAGGGAAGAGAAAGGCTCTCTTTCAACCCTGAATTGTGGGTAGAAAGAGATGCAGTGACCGCCTAATTCAGATCATTCTGAAGGGATGTCCTTCATTTCAGTATCCCTTCATAGTGTCTGAGTAAAGTAGTTCCTGACTCCACAGAAGTGAAGGCTCATCTCCTCCTCTGCTGCTTTGGTAGGTGGAATCCCCCGCACCCCAGTGAGACAAAAGATGAATGCCATGTGCCGTTCCTTGAAGATGTTGAACGTGGCGAGGCTCAATGTAAAGGCCCAGAAGTTGCATCCAGATGGCAGTCCAGATGTGGCTGCAGAGAAAGGGACTCAGAGGACAACTGGTGGAAGAACAGCAGATAAACTAGAAGACAGAGGAAGAACATTAAGAAGTTCTAAACTGAAAGGTATTCCCCCACTCTAGCATTTTGTTCAACCATAAAGAAAAAATTATGTCATTTGTGGAAAAATGGCTGGAACTGGAGATCATCATGTTAAGTGAAATAAGCTAGACTCAGACAAATATCTAATGTTTTCTCTCAAATGTGGAATGTGTTCAGAGGTGTCAGTCCATCATGGCGTGCAGGCAGTTCACATCATGGCAGCAGGATGCAGAGAAAGGGCCTTCTGCCAATTTTTAAACCAGGTCTTCTTACTAAGTTTTAGGAGTCTTTTTTTTTTTTTTTTTTTTTTGAGGTACTGGGGTTTGAATTCCGGCCCCTGCACTTTCAAGGCAGACATTCTACCACTTGAACTTGAGCCATACCATCAGCCCTGGATAATGGGCCTTTATCAGATGTCTTTTGCAAATATTTTTTCCCAGTCTGAAGCTTGTCTTCTCAGTCTCTTGATAATGTGTTGACAGAGCAGAAATATATATGTATGTGTATGTGTATATTTTTTGTTCTTGCTTTTGAGGGTACTGGGGTTTGAACTCAGCCTCATACTTGCTAGGCAGGTGCTCTACCACTTGGGCCACTCTGCCTGGTGAAGAGTTTTTAAATATACTATAGCTAAGGTCAAGGTCATCTTGATTCTCTCCTTTGTTACTAGTTTCTTGTAGTTTTATAATTTTACTTTTACATTTATGACTGTGACCCATTTTTGTGGAGAAAAGGTCCATGTCTAGCTTCATTTTTTGGGTGTCCAGCTGTTCTCACACCACTTGTTGAAAGACTAATTTTGACCCATTGTGTTACCTTTAATTTGTCAAAGAGGGTTGCCTGTGTTTATGTGGATCTTTTTCTGGACTTTTCTTCTGTTCCATTGATCTATTTGTCTTACTGTATCAATTTTGTAAGTCTTGAAGTTGGATAGTTTAAGTCTTCTTGATTTTGTTCATCTCCCACAATATTGAGTTAACTATATATTTCTGGATCTTTTGCCTCTCCTTATACCCTTTAAAATCATTTGGTCAGGGCTGGAGGCGTGGCTCAAGTGATAGCGTGCTTCCCTAGCAACACAAGGCCCTGAGTTCAAAACCCAGTACCACCAAAAAATAAATAAATAAAATACAATAAAATAGCCAAGCCACATACAAGTAACAATTTGATCACTTCTGCTTGAGCACTTAAAATTTAAGAAAGGTTTTCAAACTGGATGTGGTGGCTTTCACCTGTAATCCCAGCAACTCAGGAGATAGAATTAGAAGGATAAGAAGACTGCCAGGGGAAAAAAAAAGAGGTGACCCTACCTGAAAAACAAACTAAAAGTGCAAGGACTGGTGTGGCTCAAGTGGCAGAGCCCTTGCGTGAGTGAGAGAAGAGGCTTGAGTTGGACCCCTGTGGAGTGGAGAATCAGTTTCTCAGTATCTATAGGATAACTGCTGGGATCTAGTGTCACTCTGTAGATCAGGTGGGAAGAGCTGAGTCTTGACAATGTTGTTGCCTCTTCATGAACAGGGAATGCCTCCTTTTATGATTCCTTCCTCAGAGTTTTGTAGTTTGCCTCATACACGTCTTCTACATATTTCCTTAGGTTTAATTCCTGAGTACTTCATTTTTTGTAGATGATACTTTAATGTCAAGGTGTTTTTAACTTTAAATTCCATTTGTACATTACTTATATATAGGAAAGTGGTGGGTGCAACTTCTTGGTACTGGGTTTGAACTTAGGGCCTTGCATGTGCTCTACCACTTGAGCCACACCCCCAACCCTTTTTGCTTTAGTTTTTCAAAGAGGGTTTCACATTTATGCCAGGCTAGCCTGGATACCAGTCCTCCTCCTTATGCTTCCTGCCTAGCCGGGATGACAGGCATACCCCACCATGCCAAGATTTTTATTGATTAAGGTGGGGTCTTGTAAATGTTATGCCCAGGCTAGCTCCAAACTGAGATCCTCCTGATTTTGCCTCCCACCCAGCTATATCGTGCAACTTTTTTATAATCTTTTGTTGACTTCAGGAGTTTTCTTTTTTCTTCTTTGTGGTCATGGGGTTTGAATTCAGGACCTCATACTTCCTAGGCAGGCACTTCACCACTTGAGATATGACTCCAGCCATTTTTGTTTTGATAATTTTTTGCATAGGGTCTTGTGTTTTTGTAGGAGTCGGCTTCAGATCATGATCCTCCTAACTATGGTCTTCATAGCTGGAATCACAGTTGTGTACCACTATGCCTGGCTTATTGATTGAGATGGGGTCTGACTAATTTTGCCTGGCTGGCCTTGAACTGTGATCCTCTCAATCTGTTCCCCAAGTAGCTGGAACTTTGGGCATGAGTCACCATGTCCAGTCTAGGAGTTTTCTGGTTTATTCTTTTATATTTCCTACATAGGTAATCCTCTATGAACAAAGACAGTTTTTTTTTTTTCCTATCGTTAAATTTTTCATACCTAGCATTTTGTTTGCAAAGTCTTAAAACTAACCACTTTTCTCAGTCTTGGCATTATTGACATTTGGACAGAATAGTCCTTTGTTGTGTGGCATGTCCTATGCACTGTAGGATGTCTAACAGCATCACAGCATCCCTCCCTCTGCACACTAGATGTTAGTAACTTATCACCTCCAGTTCTGACCATCCAGACACAGTCAGCTGTCCCCTGGGAGGCAGAAGTCTCCCCAAGTTGACAACCAGTTACATGATACAAGGAGTTACCCTGAATGTGATAATCGGTTTTATTTTTTCCCCCACAGATTTTAAAACTGAGGAGGAGCTACTATCTTACATACATGACAATTACCAAAAGACCGTGGCCATGAGAGGAATTGTGCTGCATTCATGTGCTCAGAACATGATCTCAACCATTAAAGTGTTCCTAAAATCGAAAGGCGCCAAGGAATTAGAAGTAAGGAAGTCACTGTTGTCATAGACACAGTGACTGGCTGGTTTTTGATGGGTTTGGTTCATGTAGCTTGGGAAATTTCCATTATGCTGTAAATGATTAAAAAATGATAAGACGAGCAAGGGAGTGAGTATAGTTCCAGGTTTTGGAAGGTGGGTATGGGGAGCCAGTAGGCAGAGATCAAAGGAGTGGGGTGAGTGGAGTAATTACCTGTGCTTCTCTCCTGATGAAAGCTCTGTCCTCATCTGTGCTACATGTTAGCTGCGTGAATTAAGTCAGTGATTTTAACCCTAGCTGCACTTCAGTCACCTTGGGAAAATAATTGATTAATTAACTAAATGAGGATGCCTGGCGCCTTCCAGACTGATAGACTAACTCCAGATCTCTGGAGCTGAGACCTGCACATCTGTTTTAAAACCTCCCCAGGTGACTCTTATGCACTAGGACTGTTGCAGACCATGCTGTCATTGTTTTTATTCGTACTTAGTGGCCAATGCGGGGTTTCTTCTCTAAAGCTTGTAATACTTAAGCTTCTCCATCATACTGTGTGGAACTTTCCTCTTAAGACAGTTCACATCTGCAGGCCTGCTGGGTCCATACCCTCTTACTTACAAATACTTTTTTACCATGTCTCTTTAAAGATCTAAAAGAAGTACAGTCATTTCACTGCTTTTCATTCAAATGATAAAAGAAATTTATTTGTAAGGCAGTATACTTCCCTTTCTTAGGACATTAATTGACTGTGAAAGAAATTTGAAATAGTGATAATTAACTTAGTATTCTCCTGTGTAATAATTTTGTGTTTTCAGATGAACTGCCTGAATCATGTAAAAAGTAACCTCTTAAAAACTAGCAAAAGTCTTCGACAGAATCTAGGGAAAAAACTGAGTAAGGAAGACAAAGTCAGGGAGTAAGTAGCTACCTTGTTTATTTATTTATATCTTTACTCCAAAACAAAACTCTGAGACTTGCTTACCTCCATTTAAAACTGCCAGTTGCTTGAACATGCTTTTGGATTTTTTTTTTTTTTTTGATTGTTCTGGGGTTTGAACTCAGGACCTTGTGCTTGCTAGGCACATGCTCTGACACTTGAGCCACACCTCCAACTTGAACATGCTTTTGTGGCTGATTCTTAATGGTGTTCTGATGGGCAGTTTAAGTCACCTACTTACCTAATAATCACATCAGTATTTAGAGAAAGCAATGCTGCTTCTTACTGGTTATTGTTTCTTACATAACTAGATCTATGCTTAAAGGAGTGTTAGGTTAAGCTGCACTCAAAGTATATGACCAGGTTTGTTTGTTCTTTTCTCCCAAGGTGTCAGCTTCAGGTGTTTCTTCACCTGGAGATGTGTCTGCAATGCCCTTCGATACTAGAATGTACAGATGAGATGGAGCAAGTAGTGGAGGAGGCAAGTACCTAACTTCATGCCCTAGGAGCATGCGCTCCAGCTTTCAGTGGCCCTGCATAAGGCTTATGGTAATGTCCCCAAATCTCCTTCAGGTGACAGACTTGCTGCGCATGGTATCTCTAACCGAGGACCCCGCATACCTGTCCGAGTTTCTGGAGGAGATTTTGAGATTGTGAGTTTGGTGGCTGCTAATTTGAAAATTGCTTTACCAAGAGCAGCACATGGCATTTATCTTGGGGTCGTGGGGCTAAGTGGACTTTTCCTCATGCTGGGTGAAAGAGGGAACAGAGAGCGAGATGGTAACTGCCCCATGTTTGACCGCTCCTCTCCACAGGTATATTGGCTCCGTCCCAAAGACACTTGGAAAGCTTTACAACAGCCTGGGGTTTATGATCCCTCAGAAGCTGGCTGGTGTCCTTCCTTCAGATTTCTTCAGTGATGACTCCATGACACAAGAGAGCAAATCACCACCCTCGATGCCTCGTTCATCAAGCGCTCACAGATCGGTGTCAGGCTGCACAGAATCTGACCAGCTGGAGGAGCTCCGGACCAGATCAGCCAAGAAGAGAAGGTAGGGGCTCGAGGCTCCAAAGGGATTGCTTGCACTGCAGTTAAGTTCCGGCAAAGGACGCCTTTAAACTATAGTCTAGTTTTCTTTGTCCATGGAGTGTGTAGAATTAGTAGTCATCCTTTGTTTGAGTCACAGAATCAGTTCTGACTTCCTACCAAGCAGTATCTGTCTCTCTTTTTGTCCCCTGTATTTTGTAGTTCACAGAGCCCTTCTTTACTATCCACATATGGTCTCTAGGAACCTTTGAAATAGGCTTAGGGTTTCAGCTTACTTTTTAAATTTCCTGTGGTGCTTTTCATTGTTACTGACTAGTTGAAACTTATAGTGGTCATTTTTGGAAATTCTGGAGTTGACTAGTAATAAATCCAGGCCAACCCCAAGACGAAGGAACTTTCAGTGAAGTGAGTCTCAAAGTAGATAATGCTTTTATTTAAATGGTATTTGATTTTAGACTCTGGTTCCATTCAAATTTAACTACAGGTAACTTCTCTCTGGTGTGTCTTGACTGTTTCTTTCTACTTTTAAAAGGAAAAATACATTAATAAGACACAAAAGCATCGCAGAGGTTTCACAGAATCTACGACAAATTGAAATTCCCAAAGTGTCCAAGAGAGCTGCAAAAAATGTAAGTGATCTCCAGCAGACAAGAATTGGCTCTGTCAGAGCTGCTCCTTCCAGCCTGGCTTAACATGATAACCACAAATGTAAGGCACTGGCTCTATTTTTAGGACAGGGCAGGGACTTTGGAGAATACAGAAACAGTATAGATTGAATGTCTCTTATCCAAAATGCTTGGAGCCAGAAGTCTTTCAGATTTCAGAATTTTTCTGGATTTTAGAATGTATGCATGGAGTATTAACACAAAAAATTTTAGCGGTCTGCAGCCATACCACGGTGAACGTGCCTGATCTCATCTGATCTCAGAAATTCAGTAGGATCGGGCCTGGTTAGTACTTAGCTAGGAGACTGCCAGGGAATACCTGGTGCTGTAGGCTTAAAAAAAACAACAACAACTTTTTTTACAGTTTTCAGCAGTTCAGATTTTGGGCTGTTGAATTCACTGGCATTAAATATTTTTATGAATGTGTATAAAACTAATTCAGGGAATAAAGAAATTTAAATTTAAGAGATTCACCATTTTGCTCAAGAGTGTGATAGTCAGAGGTAATATGAAGAAAAACAGCAAGTAAAAGTTAGAAATGAAGGTCTGGTGGAGTGGCCCAAGTGGGAGAGTACCTTCCTAGCAAGCATGAGGCCCTGAGTTCAAATCCCAGTACTCCCCAAAAAAAGTTAGAAATGTATGAATTAATTCAAAATATTTAATGTAGGTTAAAAAAACTCATAAGACAATAACTAAAGCAAAAGGGTCACTGAAAAGTAATGCACAATCCTAATCAGACTTCAGTTGCCTCCCAGAAGAGTACTTTTCAGTGTGTTATGTTTTACTTCAATAACAAGCTTAAAGAGAAAGAAAAAACAACAGCGACTGTCATGAAACCAGATGGCAATTAGTTTTTCTGTGGCAGTAGACATAAATAAAGATTTAAAGTTTTGGGGTTTTCTTAAAAGGTTTGATCTTGCCCAGTACCTCTTAAACTTAATCCCTTAGTTTCCCTTGCAGTTATATGGACTAATAAAGACTGACAAACCTTTTCTGTAGAAGGCCAGATAGTAAATATTTAAGTAAAAACAACCTGAGTTTATGTGTGGTGACACACAGCTGTAATCCTAGCACTCAGGAGGCTGAAGCAGGAGGATGGACAAGTTCCATGCCAGCCAAGGCTACATAATGAGGCCCTGTTGCACACAAAAAACAAAAACAAAACCACAACAAAAATATGACTCAATCTATTCTGCTTTTTAAAAAACTTTCCTCCATCATCACAGATCTGTTTCTATGCTAGTATACCCAATGTTCCTTCCTTATTCTTTGAGTGTCTGCATAGGAGGATATATAATTCATTTAACTTTCACTCTTGATGGTCATTTCTGGCATATCTTCTGTAACTACAACACAGCAGGGAGTGTCCTTGAAACATCAACTTCAGTGCATTTTGCTATTTCTGTTATGAATCCCTAGGAGTGAGTTGGAAGGATCAAAGGGTTTCATGTGCAACTTTTATTCTTTGATTTTAAATAAATGCCTATTTAGATTTTCTTACGGATTTTTCTCATTTCCAGGAAAGCTCTCAGCCTGCTCTTCCACTCCCAGTGAAAGACACAGTACAAGGTATGCTTTGTTTTCCCTGGAAGAACAAACATACTTTGATTGCATGCATGTCAATGGCTGCAATGAGTTTAAATTTTGGCTTTTTATCATTGTTGGTTAACAATGATATAGATGAGTGAGATACTTACATGGTCTCAAAATATTACATTCTACAAAAATGACTGGCCTGGAATCTTTTAAACCGCTATTGCCATGAAAACCAAAAAAAAGAAGCAGTGGAACTGTTTTGAACGGAAGGAGTTTAAGTGTGACAGCTAAAGTGCGCTCCATGAGCCCAGCTTGTAAACCTTAAATCTACAATTTCAGAAAGTGTGTATTATTTAGAGAATCTGAAGGATCGTATCCTAGATACTATTGTATCAGTGAGTGTCATAACAGTGTAGTGATTTGGGAGAATGTCTTGTTCTTAGAAGACGTGTAGGCAATTGTAAAGTCCTCCACTGACTCTTCAGGGTTCGGAGGAGAACTTTTGTACGTTTGGTGGGGAGATGGAGGGACAAAACAAATGCTGACCATTGGTGAAGTTTAGTAATGGGTATATTGGGTTTTTGAAATTTTCTGTAGATATTTTTCCAAACATTGGAAATTAGAAAAAACTCAAATTTGGCTTTCAGGTCATAAATCAGTTTCACAGACAGTCTAAATCAGGCTAAATCTTTTATAATAGACTCTTTTGAAACCTTGATGTAGATTATTGGAGTTCTTAACGTGAACATTACAATGTTGATGAATAAACACAAACACTGCTCCCCATTTCGGACTCCTAGATTATTTGGTTTTGTTTACCCAAATTACTCTTAGAATTCATCCTAGCTGAATTTCGGAGTCACCTCTGCTGGACTATTTTGCTTAAAATTAGGTGCTGTCTCCCTAGTTTTATCAAGTGTCTCTCAACTTTGTTATTGTTTTTCTTAACTTTAAGCCTAAATAGTCAGAAGAGAATCTAAAATAACCTGTCAGGTTAGTAATCAGAATAACAAGTCTGTGTAAGTTGAAGAACAATTTCTCTACTCAAAGGTGAGCTGAATGTAAGAGTAAAAAGGCCTAAAAAGAGAAACATCATCCTTACACTATAGTGTACTAACAGGACTGGGTAGCTGCTCTTGTGTCACTGTGTCCAAATATCTGAGCAAGGCAGTTTACAGGGAGGAATTATCTTGGCTCATGGTTTCAGAGGTTTCAGTCTTTGTTGGCAGGGAGGGTGTGGCTCACAGAGGAGCTCACAGAATGGCAGGCAGGAAGCAGAGAGGAGTATTCCTGTGTAGTGGGCTTTCTCCTTTTCCTCCTTTTCTGTCTCTTAAGCACTTCTCAGTCCAATCAAGTTAACAATCCAGATAAACCATCATAAGAATCATGACCTTTATTCTTACTTCAGAATTATGTCCATTTATAAAGCTTGTGATTTAATAAAAGATGTCAGTCTCCTTGTGTTTCTGAAAAGTTGGGTTTAAGCTCAATTTGTAATAGAATATTATGACCAATTGTATGTCAAAAATTAGCTAAGCTAGGTCAAATGGACAGACAAATTCCTAGAAGGACTCAAACTGCTGAAAACAGAGTTGCGAAGAAATATAAATTAACTCTATGGCAAGTAAGAATGTTAAATTTGTTATCCCATGCTTTCAGAAGTTACCAAAGTTCGAAGAAACCTCTTCAACCAGGAGATGCTTTCTCCTTCAAAGAGATCACAAAAGGGGGGGCTGCCAAGAAGCCATTCTGTGTCAGCTGTGGAAGGTCTAGACCATAAACTGGAAAGCTTCAGCAAGACCAAAGGTAACCAAGACAAGAGGGGTTTATTGACCAAGATGCTGAGAAAATTCATTGAGGAATGAGTAGTTTTGAACAATGGCTTTGGGCCACATAGCTTTGTCTGTAATTAGTTTGCTGGTAGCAAATTCTCATTCTTGATTTAGTGAGTTGAGTCCTCTTTTTTACTCGGTCAGTTTAGCTAAAGATTTCTTGGTGTTATTTGAACTTTTTAAAGAACTTGAACTATTCTCTTGATTTTCTTATCTCAATTTCATTTATTTCCTTTTTTTCTATTTACTTTGGTTTTGGGTTTGCTTGTTTTGTTGTTGTTGTTGTTTGTAGTTTGGTTTTTTTTGAGAAAGGATCTCACTATTTATACCAAACTGGCCTGGAATTTGTAATCCTCCTGCCTCAACCTCCTGAGTGCTAGGATTACAGATATACTCCACCATGCTGAGTTCTTTTCAGTTTTTAAAGGTGAAGGTTAGAGGGTAGGTTATTGAACCTATTGGTTAGGTTTCTTTTTTTAACACAGGCATTTATAGGCATAAATTCCCCTCTCAGTACTGTAGTAGCTGCATCCTGTAAGTTTTAGTATGTTGGGTTTTTATTGTCATCATCTAAAAATATTTTTAAATTGTTTTGTTTGCTTTTTGTAATCCATTGTGATTTTGTTTTTCTTTAATCCACTGGTCATTTAGAAGTATGTTAAATTCCATGTATTTGTGAGTTTCCCAAATTCTCTCCTATTGATTTCTAGTTTCATTCCATGAGTATTGGAGAACATATTTTGTGTGATTTCAGTCTTTTTAAATGTATTGAGACTTGGACTGAGGGTGTGGCTCAGTGGTAGAGAGCTTGTCTAGCATGCATAGGTCTAGGGTTCAAGTCCCAGAATTACAGGAAGAGAAAAAGTTATTTTGACTTGTTTTAAGACTTAACATTTGTATATATTCCATTTAAGCCTGAGAAGAAATCTGTTCGCAGTTCTCAGGTGACCTGTTCTCAGATGTATATTAGATCTAGTTGGCTTATGGCGTTACTCACACCTTCTCTTTCACTTGATGGACTTCTGTTTAGTTTTCCTAACTATTATTGAAAGTGAGACGTTAAAGGGCTGGGATTTGCAAAATAGAAAAAGAAAAGGAGAGGCAGAGTGAGTAATGTTAAATGCCCAACTATTATTGTTGCATTATCTATTTGTTCAATTCTGTCAGTTTTTACTTCATATATTTGGTGGTTTTGTTAGGTGGTTATACATTTATAATTGCTGTTTCTTCTTGGTGGGTTGAACTTTTTATTAGTCTGTTTTATCTAATAATACTTTACTAATCAAGTCCTTTTTTTTTTTTTTTTGGTGGCGTTTGAACTCAGAGCTTCACTTTTACGCAGCAGGCACTCTACTGCATGAGCCATGCTTCCAGCCCAACCCATCTCTTTTGCATACAGTATCTTCTGCCATCCTTGTACTTTCAATCTCTGTGTCTTTGTATCTTATTGAACCTCCAGTAGACAGCATGCAGTTAGATAATGGTTCTTGATCGATTCTGCCAGTCTCTGCTTTCTACTTGCAGTCTTTCGTTCATTTATGTTTATTATAAGAAACAACTTTGCCTTTTTTTCATATTACCTGATTTTTTTTTTTTTGTAGTGTACCATTTTGGTCCATTTACTTATTTATTTATTGCATTTTGCAGTCATTTTCTTAGTGGCTACATTGGATTTCACAATTAACCTATTAAGCTGAAAGCCACTTAGTTTGGATAAAATCAACGTAGTTTCAATAGAACACAAACACTTTTTTCCTGTGTATTCCCATTCCTCCTCCTATATATTGTTACTGTCATAGATTACATCTTCACATGAGAGCTGCAAAACAGAAGTGCCAGGATAGAAACTTTAATGAACTCCCTCAAGCATTTCTTTACCTGAAAATGTCTTCATTTCTGTTTTATTCTTACAGGATGTGGAATTCTTTCTGACAGCCTTTTCTTCTTTCAGGACTTTAAATATATCCATTGCCTTCGGACCTCCAAGGTTTCTAATAAGATATTAGTGATTAATCTATTGCTTTCACGATTATACATTCAGGTTTTGACAATTGACAATAATGTGGCTTGGTGTGGAACTCTGAGATAATCCTGCTTGGAGTTCAGTGAACTGCTTGGGTGGATATGTAGGTTCCTGTCTTTCATAGGATTTAGGAAGCTTCCAATGAATTCTTTTTTTTTTTTCCCCCAGCTGAACTTCCTTTATTTTTTTCCTCTTTTTTATTAGTGTAGTTTAATTGTACAAAGGGGTTTCATTATGATATTTCCATGCAGGCATATAATGTACTGTAATCAAACCCACTCCAGTATTAGCCTTTCTTATCCCCCTCCCCGGTTATTAAAACAATTTTAATGGGTTTCATTATACACATATGTATGAAGTATTTTGGTCTTATCTAGCCCCTCTTCACCCTCTCCTTTCACCCTCCCTGATCCCATTGGTTTTCACCCCCAAACAGTCCCCCCATTTTACACTTGTGTCATTCTTCTTCTAGGTCTAGATTCTGCATATGAGAGTATGCATTATTTTCAATAATGCATTTATTTCTCAATCTGGCTTATTTCACTTAACATGATGGTTTCCAGTTCCATCCATTTTCCTGCAGACACCATAATTTCATTCTAAGCAATTATTTCTTCGAAAAGATCTTCTTCCACTCCATGTCTTCTGCTTTTGGGGATCCCCTTGATATGTGGTGTGCACCATGTGGTGTGCTCAGATGCCTCAGGCTTTGCTCATCTTTCTTATTCTTTTTCTTTCTGCTCAGACTGTTCACTTTCAATTGTCTTATCTTCAAGTTCTGACTTTTCTTTCTGTTGAAATCTGGAGTTGAATCCCTCTAGTGAATTCTTCATTTCAGTTATTACACTTTTTAGCTCTAGAATTTCTACTGCTTTATTGACATTCTCATAGTGTTAATATATTATTTTCCTGATGTCCTTTTTTTTGTTTTTGAGACAGTGTCTCACTGTGTAGCCCAGGCTGACCTTAAACAATCCTCCTCCCACTGCCAACTTAAATGCTAGAATCACAGCTGTGTACCACCACTCCTGACTTCCTTTAATTCTTTATTCATGGTTTCATGAGTTCATTGATTAACATCTCTGACTGTGAGTTCCAGTGTCTGGGCTTCCTTAGAAACGGTTTTGGTCAAGTTCTTTTTTCCTGTGAGTTGGCCCTGCTTTCCTGTTTCTTTGTACACTTTGCAATTTTTTTGTTGAGAACTAGATATGAGGGGTATTATAGAGTGGTGTCTGTGAAATCCCATTCTCTGACTGCTCATGGTTGCTGTCCTTTTCTTCTGGAGGGCTGCACCTGTCCATGTGCCTTTTCCAACTACGTTGTAAAGTGGGTGTTCAGTGAAATTTCTGTCTTTATCTTCTGTGGCCAGCCACAGACCTGACAAAAGATTTCATTAAATGTCTGGCACCAAAAAGGAAGGGGAGAAGTATTCTTATCCCTTTAAACCTCCCAGTAGATGTTGTGGGGGAAAGCCACTATGGCCTTAAAGGACTAAAACCAAGGCAGTGTCTGTACCAGTCCCACAGGGGTTCCCCAGACTGACCAAAGTGTGCAACTCCAAATGTTTTGAGGACAAAGTCCCACTCTGTCTGCCCCTGGGATGGAGGCCGCTACCCCTGCAGCTGCAGCAGGGCTGAGGAAAGGGGATTGTAATTGGGGGTGTACATCTTTCCCTCCTGAAGGTCACCAAGCACCTCCACAATTTCAATAAATGTCCACATGGGTTCCAGAGTTCCAAAGTAGTGACGCTCATATTTTTCTAGCTTACTAGTCATCTTGCTGGATGCACTGATCTCGCAGGCTTTCTCCACCACCACTTTGCAGGACCTCAGTCCCCCACGGGATCATAGTTGATGTCTTAACTTGAACAGCTGAATTCAGATTGATACCAAACTAACTGCAGTTTTACAAAAACTACTCCTTTGTAGTTCTGTTTCCTGTTCTTCTTTGTGTTGTATTGTCATAGAAATTATATTTCTACATCGTATGCTATCGACACAGATTTATTTATTTGTTGATTTATTGATTTTTAAGTTAATCTAGAAATAGGTTTATTTTGGCTCATGGTTCTGGCTCAAGATTGGGGGGGGTTCCCATCTGGTGGTGGTCACCTTGATGGCAGAGTCCCAAGGTTATTCCTTGGTGATAGGAACAGTGTACACAAACTTACAATTATTGCTCTATCTTTTAAATTGCACAGCAAAAGGAGTTACAGACAAAACTACTTTTATCCTGTCTTTTATATTTGCTTATATAGTTACTGTTACCAGTGTAAGTCTTCATATGGACTTAACTTGCTCTACTGCCCTTTCCTGTCAACCTGAAGGCCTCCCCTTTAGAACTACTTGTGGGTAGGTGAGCTGGTGACACATTCTGTTGTGTTGTTTTAATCTGAGAATGTGCTGTTGATGGTTTTGATGGGCTATTAGCTTTCAAGGTGCGCCCAGGACTAGAGCAAGACTGTTGGAACAAGAGCAGGTTAAAGTTCCACACAGCTCAGCATATTTACTGAGATCCCAGCTGTTTTTCTTAAACAAATGTTTCATAGATTGCAAACCTCTAGCTGATCTCCAGAGTTCTGAAAAGACTGAGTTTTCCATTTTTTGCCAGTCTTCTCATTCCATTTATGGAGGAATTTTGTCCTTATTGTTTGGTTTTTTTGTTTTGTTTTGTTTTTTTGGAAGGCTTTACTCCATCCCAACTGAGGTCACTTCTCTTTCTAGTCCTTTTTAACTCATTCTAGCAAGATTTTTTTTTTTTTTTTTTGGTGGAGCTGGGGTTTGAACTCAGAGCCTCATGCTTGCTAGGCAGGTGCTTTGCTGTTTGAGCCACTCCACCAGCCCTTTAACTCATTCTAAACCAGTTCTCCCATGAGTAACTTGGCTCCCTACTCTACTGAGAAATTTTGTGCCAGCTTTAATTAACATCTATATGTCATGTCATCATTTTCACTTTTTTTTTCTTTTTGGTGGTACTGGGATTTGAACTCAGGGCCTCATGCTTCCTACTTGAGCCATATTTTTGAGATAGAGTGTCAGATTTATGCTCGGGCAGCCTGGACCACTGTCCTATTTTCGCTTCCCATGTAACTAGGATGACAATCACACACCAACATGCCCAGCTTGTATTTGAGATGGGGTCTCATGAACTTTTTGCCCAGGCTGGCCTCAGTCTCAAACCACAGTCCTACTGATCAGCTCCCAAGTAGCTGGAATTACAACCACACTGCACCTGACTCATTTTCACATTTTTATTTCATTTAATCTTAAATATAAGAACCATGAACCAGGTGGATGTGTGTGTTAGCCCTAACAAGTAAGTGCTTCTTGCTTTCTCAGAATTGGTTATCAGAAACATAATTCTCTAATATTTTACATTGGCTTTTGTTATTGAATCTCTAACAATGCTGATAAACTACTCGATACTGCTGAGTCCTGTGAGCACAGAACTCAGCTCAAAGATTAAGATCCACTCCAGCTAGGTAATAAGACATATGAGCTCACACTGCATCTTTTATCTTGTTGCTGCTTGAGGGTAAGAGTCATCATGAAGCTGTTTTTACATCGTAGGTTATCACAAGCTGCTGACAAAGACTGTCGCTGAGACCCCAGTACACAAACAGATCTCCAGGAGGCTGCTGCATAGGCAAATCAAGGGCAGGTGAGTGACACAATCATCCAGACTTCCTCACCACTCCACCTCCTGCATCTCTGCAGGGCCACTGCCTTCCTCGACCTTCTTGACTTACATCGTAACCGTGTTGCTTACGTCAGAGTGTTCTAGAAACTGTAGGGGTGGGAGACCCCTACAGCACATGCACTTATGTAGCCTCTTGAGATTGGCCCCACTGGCTTGTCTCAGTAGTTCATCCTTTCTTCCTGTTGAATAGCGTTTATTGAGTGGATATCCCACACATACCTGTTAACATGGGGAAGGGCGTATCCTCATTTCTGCCACCTGAGGCTGGCAGTCTGGGAGCCCAACGCTTCCTGTGCTGACAGTGGTGTGACTGAGGATGTGGTTTTCCTGTGGTGACTGGTTGGATGAAGGTAATTACAGTCTGGAAGCATTCTGTCTGGCTTAGCTGCCCCCTCCTGGTTCTCTGGCTTGAGAACTGTCTCCGTGGAGCATTTTTGTCTGCATCTGTGGGCAGATTTGGCTGTCAGTTTTTTCAGCAGACAGAACATCTAGGAAGCTCACAGCCCCTTTCCCCTGGACCACTCTTTCCACTGGCTCCCATCCGGGCCACCTTCTCTCTACCTTTCAGTTATAGTCTGTTTTATACATAATATTCAGGATATTTACCCTGGGGGTAGGGCATCTACTTCATCTTGTCCATACTCCATCTGCACATTATTTGTGTACACATTTTATATTTACCATAGCTTATAAATTGTAAGAAGTGCAATTGGTGAGTCAGAAGTCCTTAATCCACTGGCAGAAATTAAAGTTCTTCAACAGAAAACCAAACATCGCTACTCATTACTGTGACAGTATATTTAGTGACAACTTGTTAATATATTAGCGGAAGTAAAAGTATTAATCTACTTTAAAATTCATTGCGATGAGTTGTAAAATTGCTTTCCACAAAAAAGAACTCCAACCATCTGAGTTTCAGCAGTAAGGATTACATGAGGCTAGGAATGCAGCTCAGTGGTAACATGTGTGCCCAACATACAGTTCACTCCCCACTACACAGAATAAAAAAATCATGATAATCGAGTATGGGAGTGCTTGCCAACACCTATGTTGCCGAGCCCTGTGGCTGCCATCTGTCTCTGGTATGTTAATTATGAGTGGATCAAATCCTTGTGCTGCTTGTTCCTCAAGGTCGTCAGAGCCTGGTCCTGATATCGATGTTGTAGAAGAGTCGCCTGAGAAAGGAGACAACGGTAAATGTTATCTCCTTCATTTACATTCTCCCCAGCTTCTACACAAACTTTTCTGCACGTGTATTTGTCACTCAGCATGTCCGCAGATAATTTACTGAGACTGTGCTGGCTCTGGGTCCTGGGTAGTGGAGTCAGTATTTATACCTTTTTTTTTTTTTTTTTTGTGGTACTGGGGTTTGAACTCGGGGTCTACACCTTGAGCCACTCCACGAGCCTTTTTTTGTGAAGGGTCTTTTTGAGATAGGGTCTTGTGAACTGTTTGCCTGGGCTGGCCTTGAACCACAGTCTTCCCAGTCTCTGCCTCTGAGTAGTTGGGATTACAAGTGTGAGCCACTGCACCTGGCAGTATTTATAGTTTTACATAGAACTTATTGAAAGACTTTCTGGAATAGTTTTACACAGTAGAAACGGAACTCAGCTGAGTACTAAGCTACCATGCTACACAAAGTGCTGAGGCTTATTTAAAAAGTATATGGTGGATGGCCAGGTGTGGTGGCATATACCTATAATCCCAGCTACTCGGAAGGCAGAGATTGGGAAGACTGTGGTTGAAGGCCAGCCCAGGCAAAAAGTTAAGAAGATGTCATCTCAACCAATAAGCCAGGTGTGGTGATTTATGTCTATAATCAGCTATGTGAGAAGATCATGGTCCAAGACTGGCCCCAGGCAAAAACAAGAGACTCTGTCGGAAGAAAATCTGAAGCCAAAAGGACAGGGGGCATGGCTGAAGTGGTACAGCTTCTGCCTAACAAGCACAAGGCCCTGAGTTCAAACCCCAGCACTGCCAAACAAAAAAAAAAGGGATAGAAGTCTTTTACTCCCCTTTCCTGTGTGGGAAACAGGCACCGTTTCTCTGTCCCCACTTCTCTGTATTTATCCTGCTATACTAAAACAAATCCTCACTAAAACTAAAAAAAAAAAAGTATATAATGAAGAAAGGGCCTTTCAAAACAAATTTATTTTAATTGATGAAGTCAAAAAAAAAAAAAACTAGAATATATAAAGAAGACATTTTTACAATTACTCAGTAATCCCACAGCTCAGAAACACTGTCAGCATTTGAGCATGTCCTCTGCAATACTACTTCTTGTAAAAATACATGTCCTGTGCGTGCATGGAGCCTGTTTTGGACTTCTGTTTTGTTTTTGTATTCCACAAAAGTCACACTATGCATACCCTTCTTTTCACACTGTGGCACACATAAAGGGGCAATTTATGATTCTTCTGAAGGTGGGAGTGTCCTGGGTCAGTGGGTTTTCAGTACCTTGTTGGGATCATTTATCAAGTCCAGGTGTTCTGATTACTCACTGGTTTGGTTTTGCAGAAAGAAGTTTGAGACGAAGTCCTCGAATCAAATCATTGTCATTTAGCAGAACAAACTCTAGCTCCTTCTACTCTGTGTCTCAGCCAAAGTCTCGAAGTGTGCAGAGAGTCCACTCGTTCCAGCAAGACAAGTCAGGTAACACAGGCCATCTGATTCACAGGACCATGCTGGCTTGGTGGGAGGTGTTTCTGGGAAAAGAAGCCTGCAATGTGACATTTTCTTCCTTGACATTGGAGAAGTAGAATAGGTACTGATAGGCAAGGTTCAGGGGGATGACTAGATGGACAGTCCTTAGCCTCTGTAATCAGTTAGCTTGTGGATTCCTACAACTGGTCATCCACACTGTTATAGGTGTCTCATTCATTCAAGAGGAAATTGCTCCTTGTTTCCATTGTATGACTGGGCCCTAAGCAAGTGTCCCAGGTAGAGGGTGGATGATACATATTTGTATGTTCTTTATTCTTGCATTCATGATTGGCTTGGCTAATACGTGTTTTTACATTTGTAATAAAAAGCACATAAACTATTTATAATTACAAATACAAGTATTTCAGTTATCTAACACAGGACCTGGGTTAACATGCAGTGTCAGTAAAACCTAGGAAGGCGGCCTTCATTGCAATTGTGGATGTGATTAGGTGGGGTTTTCCCCAGGTGCTGACAAACACCATTGCCTTCTTGTACAAACAGCTGTCTTAAGAGTGTTCGGGGGCAGGTCTCGAGAAGAATTAAACATTGTTTTTGACTTGCAGACCAAAGAGAAAATTCTCCAGTCCAAAGTGTTCAGTCTCCCAAGAGGCTACTTTTTGGGGCACTTTCCGAGATAATCAGCCCTTCAGAGAAGGGCTCTGCCCGAGTTAAAAGATTCTCAAGAAGCACGTTGGGTTCTGAGATACCTGCAGCTCACCAGGTAGAGTGTTGCCATGTTTAAGATGATGTCATCTGGGAGCACAGAGACATGATGGGGAACCCAGAGTCCAGAAGGGAGGAGACAGCAAGTGATCTATAGATAATAAGAGACCCAAGGTCTTGCTTGAGTCATGAATGGGCACCTAGGCACTTAAAGCAGCCTGTGTGGCTGAGGCCACGGTGGCAGGGTTAATACAGAGATGGCCTCCGCTCTCTTGGCTTTATCTACCATTTGTAGTGCTCAGTGCAGATGTTCTGATGTGGGTACTAGTCTTTCATCTGTTTCCACTCTGTCCTCGGAGTATTAGAAACCTGGGAGTCGTCGTTGGCTTGTCCCTCTCTCGGAGCCTCCGTTTTGTTTATAAATGGGCTTTTGTGCATGCACGCATACACACATACACACACACACACACACACACACACACACACACACACACTCTCTCTCTCTCTCTCTCTCTCTCTCTCTCTCTCTCTCTCTCCTGCAATTCCTGCCCCAGCCTTTTGCTCTCCAATCCATCCTTCCCCAGGGGGCAGAGTATCTCTCTGAAACATTCATCTGACTTGGCTTAGAGCTCTCTAGATTCCTACCTGCTAAAGCAAAGTTTCTTACATTTCCCTAAAACGGAACTCTTGTGTTCAAAAATAGTACTTTGCTTGGAAACTCAAATCGCTTAGTGGTTGGGGAGGACCCCGAGCTTTGGGGAAAGGTTTGAAAATCACTGGTCCAGTAGACAAAGATCAGTCTCCTCCCTAGAGCAAGCTCTGCTGTGGTCTACCTACCCTTGGCCTTCCCTGCTCACCCTGCCCCTGGTTCCACACACGCCTGCTGTTTTTCACAGTTGTGCCTTTGTTGTGCTGTCTTCTGTGCCTAAAGTCCCCAAGCTCCACTTTTCCAGCCACTGCTTCCCCTGAGAACACCCACTCTGAACACCTGACTTACTAGGCCTTCCTCCCTCCCTCCATTGCATGACATCGTGCTCCTCACATGTCTCTGCCATTTTGTTGGCCACACAGTTATCGCCTGTTTACAACTCACTGAACGTGAAACACTGGCCAGGTGGCATTCCCTTGAGATAGTCCAGTATGGTTATGGAAAGATAGGGTTTGACCTCCTTACCTGTTGGGGGTTTTTAACTGCCTTCATTGTAAGAAGGAAGGGAAATTGTTGGTTGGGTAGTGTCCTTCCTGAGGCATCATTGTTGTTGCTGTACCTTATATATCTGTGTGCCTCCCCTCAAAAATAGTACTTTGCTTGGAAACTCAAATCACTTAGTGGTTGGGGGAGGACCCTGAGCTTTGGGGAAAGGTTTGAAAATCACTGGTCCAGTAGACAAAGGTCAGTCTCCTTTGTCTGCGCACACACACACACACACACACACACACACACACACACTCTACACACAGTGCCTGTCACATAGGAAGTGTTTGGCAGCACAGGTTGGTGGAGCAGAGAACAGACAAGGTGGCTCCTGGAGGCTCCTTTAGGCCAAGGTCAGAAAGAAAGCTGTTTTGTTTGAAGACAGGGAAGAACTATGAAATGACAGAGTGAGAGGCAAAGCATCGTTCATTACTAGTATGTTAATTATTAAAACTGTTCTTGGGAGAACAGGTTGGATACAGTGCTTGGTTCTAGAAAAAGTGGACAAGGAAAATCTGAGTCATGTTCTGGATCACTGTTTGAACTTTTCAGCTTTCTGTGGTTGACTTTAAATCTCTTTGCTTTTCTAATTGTCTTAGAGAGCACTAAGATCCTCTTGGAAAATATAGGTTACAATATTCAAGCACTGAAATAAACATCTTTCTTTCCAGACTCCCAAGAAGAGTTGCCAGAAATCTCCAAGTTTTCCTAAAACTACACCAAGAAGGTTCCCCCGTACACCACAGACCCCACTGTACACTCCAGAGAGGCTGCAGAACTCGCCTGCAAAGCAGGCCGTTTCTAAGGTGTCCCCACAGGAGCCCTCCTCACAGGGCTCTGGCTCACCATTGGCATCCAAAGTCATTCCTCAGAAAGGGTCCTCCCCCGCAGAAGCGCCCTCTCCTCTGGAAACCAATGTACCAAGAACTCCCAGCAGGCCAGGTGCTCTGCCACCTGGCTCTTTCCCAAACTGTGTGTGGCCACGTTCAGTGAGTTCCAGTTCAGAAAGCTCCTGCTGTCCAGCATCCCGAGCTGCCCGGAGTGGGAGCCCCATCAAATACTCCCTCAGGACACCTCCCAGGGCAGCAGCCCTGCGGGGCATGCCCGAGAGTCAGAAATGCCAAGAGTCCTATCTCCCTGACACTTCTCAGGCAGTGGACCTGGCACAGAAACTTAAGGAGAAGGCTGTCAAGACCTCAAAGAGACCAGAAGATGCCACTGTGACTCCTTCCCCGCCTGGTTCTCCCCTTCGTGATGCTCTAAAGACTCTACTTAGGAAACCTTTGACGGCATCTCCTCCCCCTGAAGAACTGGATAGGAAAGAGGCCCAGATGTCACCCAGCATAGCCACATCGCCTTTCCATCCTGTTCCCTCAACTCCCCCCCAAATCACACCGAGAGCTACCTCCCCCACCATCCCCCCTCCTCCTCCATCTAAACTGAAGAGACAGTGTGGAAAGACCTTCAGTTCTCAACCAGCTTTCCTGGAATGCCAACCTGGCCCCTCTGCTGCTCCTGTGCCTGGCCCAGGCGACAGCCCGGCCACCACCACAGGCTCTAGAGAGGGCCAGAAGAAAGGGAGCCTCTCCCCTCAGCTTTCTCCTGAAGGACAGAGTCACCTGGGCGCAGGTTTCAGGAGCGACTGCCAGGTATCCTCTCCTTTGCTCATTTCAAGTGACACGGAGTACCTCACTTTGCTTGACGAAGCGGAACGCTGTGACTGTGAGAGCCACCAGGTGAAAGGCGGCCTCTTGGCAGGAGAGGAAGGTAAAGGGCTAAGGACAGTGGTTTCTGATGAGCTGCCCTCTGTGTCTGACCCAAGCATTCCTCCACCTACTCCTTCCTCGGGTTCCAGCTCCCCTGAGTTGCTGTCCTACGTTCTGCGCTGCACTGCAGACAAGAGATGGCACCAGGTCTCAGCACAGCCCAAGAGCCCGCAGGCTTTGGCACAGCGTACAGAGGCCCCTAGTGGCCCACGGACCTATGAGGTGGAGCTGGAGATGCAAGCCTCTGGCCTCCCCAAGCTCCGCATTAAAAAGAGAGACCCCAGCGCAGTGCCTGAGGCTGAGGCCCCACCAAAGGAGGACTGCTTCTTGGGAGAGGAGGGCTCCTCCCCTGCTCCCAGCCTGCCCAGGGCCGGTCAGTCCACTGGCAAACCCGAGCCCACCTACACACCACCCCCCTGCCTGCACCCATCACACAGCACACCTGGCAAGAGCAGGGGGCAAACCTTATATCTGCCAGTCCTGCACCCCTTCCCGCTGCCCCTCCAGTACCCCCTCTCCATTTCAGGCAGAGGCTGGAGTTCCTTGGACGCCATCCCCCAAGCAGAGTGGGAAGACCACTCCTGACACAATTAAAGACTGGCCCCGGAGGAAGAGAGCGGTGGACTGCAGTGCTGGGCCCACTGCTGGGAGAGGTGAGGCTGGAGCAGACCTTCCTGGGGCCTGGTCACTGCCTGACCCTGAGGGAAAGGAGCAAGGCCTTGAACTCAGCCTCCACAAAACTCCCGTCTTGGAAGATTTTGAGCTTGAGGGGGTATGTCAGCTGCCAGACCATTCGCCGCCCAGGGATGGTGTGCCTAAAGCTGAAGAAGCCTCCTGGGAACAGTTTGGGCTGGGTTCCAGGAAGAGACTACTGTCTGCCAAGGACGAAGCTGAGTGTGGAGCCAAAAGACTCTGTGATGGCCTGAGTGAAGACTCAGGAGCTAGCAGGCCAGAAGAGGGCTCTCCACGTTGGAGTGTGCCGCCTCTCCTCTCCATGGGGGATGACGAGGTCTTTGTTTCTGGTGAGACTGGTTTTGAACCTATGTGCCACCTGCCTGCCCTTGGGCAGTGTTTGGCGAGGGGCATTTGCAGCTTGGCAGGGCCAGGGCTTGCCTGTGTGGCCCATGGGGCTGCACTTACTTGTGGTATCTCCTTAGGCTCCACCCCGCCTCCCGGCTGTGCTGTGCGGAGCTGCCTCTCGGCCAGTGGTCTGCAAGCCCTGACCCATTCTCCACTGCTGTTCCAGGGGAGGACGCCATCCTCTCAGGGCAAGGACACCAGAGGTAATCTGCCTGTTAAATAAAGGCCCTGGAAACTTACTCAGCCGAGCTCTATCCCATGGGCTACTTAAGGAGTTCGCTCAGTTGCCCATCTATTTTATAAGGGCCTTGGGAAGCTGAGTGTGTGTGTGTGTGTGTGTGTGGGGGGGAGGAGCGGGTAGGGGTGAGGTTGTGCCTGCAGTGTCCTGCACCCTTCCCAGAAGCACCACAGTAGAACTTGTGTGCATTTGAACAGAAAGTTGCCCAAGCCCTACCGAAAGAGTCCGGTCTTCCTGAAGGTGGTGGTGGTGGTGGGCATACCTCAACACACTGCTCTTCTAGGGTCTTAAGACCTGAACAGAAAGTGTCTAGGGCAGCAGGAGTGGTGGGTGGAGTGTTCAGAGCCAGCCATTCCTACCAGCGGCTTTCTGCCCATGTTTTTCTGTACATTTAGCAGCATGAGTACTGTTGCAATCAACTGTCAGACCCTAGGACTCCCCTTCCTTTGAGTCCTTCTGGTAACTGCCCTGGTGGCACAGCACACATCTGCAACCCCAAGACCCGGGGAGGTTATAGCAGGAGGATGGTGAGGTCCAGGCCATCCTGGTCTACATGGTGAGACCTTATCTCAAAAAGCAAATAGAAAGTTTAGGTGGGTGTAATGGTGCATGTCTGTAATCCCAGCTATTCATGAGGTGGAGATCAGGAGGATCAAGATTCAAGGCTAGCCCTGACAAAAAGTTTGCAAGATTCCATCTCAACCAATAAAAGTTGTGCATGGTGGTGCCTGTCATCCCAGTTACACAGGAGTTGTAAGTAGGAGGGTTGAAGTCTTGGCCACCTGGGCAAAAAAATCTGAGATGCTACCTGAAAAATAACAAAGCCAAAAGGGCTGGTGATGTGGCTCAAGTGGTAGCACGCCTGCCTATCACGTGAGAGGCCCCAAGTTCAAACCCCAATACTGCCCAAAAAGAGTATAAACCATAAATCCTGCAGATCTGAGACACAAAGGAATGTGCAATACAGCAAACCAAGGGACTTAACCAGTGGCACTTTGCGTTGTCGGTGCCGTCACTGTCAGCGCAGTGCACAGCTGCTGAGGCTGGAGGGCCTCTGACAAGTGTAGCGACGTTCCTGCAGGGCGGTGAGATCGGGGTGTCGAGTTTTCCCACCTTCTTGTGGGTCCTCTGCGCCTGGAGCCCATTCTCTCTCGTTCTGCCCTCAGCCCCTTCTCTGTCTGCCCTAGATGATGCCGCCGACGGCTTTCCCTCCGCTGCAGAAGAGTCTCCTTTCCACCAAGCCTTCTCCAGGCGACGCCCCTTCAGCAGAACTTACACCCGGAAGAAGCTCATTAGTTAGTGGACGCCTGCCTGGAGGACTTCACCACAGGCACAGCTGGGCTTGACTGCGACTGCTGTGCTTCCTGGACCCAAGTGCTCTGACTGCAGTTTCCTTTGGAGCATAGCAGTGTCCCCACATGCCACCAAGGAATTGCAGAGGAGTGACTGGGGCTTAGTGATACTGAGCAGGTTCAAAAGGTGAAGGTGACGTCAGCCAGGTCCCCACGAGCTTAAAGAAACTGGGGACCTGGTCCCAAGCCGCTTTCCTTTTTTTTTTTTCTGTTTGAAACAGGGTCTCCTGTGTAGCCTGGGCTGGCCTTGAACTCATGATCTTGCTTGACCCAAGCCTCTTTTTTCCATGGTCAGCTTCCAGATTCCCACTAGAATGCCTCAGTCTTCAGTTCTCCCGTGGACTCCATCCCTGCCAAGCCCTGCCCTGTGTTGGGGGCGGGGACACAGCAGTGGAGCTGGTGCTGTAACTCAGGCAGCTTGGGGGTCAGAAGCCTGTTCCCACACCTCCCCTGGCATGACCTTGGCAAGTCAGAGCCCCACTGCCTGGGAAAACGGAGAAAGGAGCCCCTTACACAGCCCCTCAAGGAGCTGCTGGAAGGTTGGGCTGCTGAGACATGAGCAGTGCTTTGTAAACTGTGAAGCCCTCATGCAAAGCTAAAGAAGACTGCATCGGGCAACCAGATGAATTCTTTGCATTCCCTGTGTAAGAATAAAATCATCTCTGGCTACTTAGCATGCAGCGCTTTTCTGTACAACGTTCCTACCTGAAACCTGTGACCATGGCCCAGGGCACCTGCATTCTCAAGTGCCCTTGAGAGCCAGTCAGCGCAAAGCACAGCCCTCGCCTAGGCACCTGGTGCATGGCTTCCACCTGGAATGCCAGCAGGGCAGCTGGACCAACTTGCTGTTGAGTCTGAGCCAGAAGCCTTGCCAGCAATGAGGGCCAGTTCAGAACCTCCCCACTTTTTTTTTTCTTTTATTATTCATATATGCATACAGGCTTGGTTCATTTCTCCCCCCCCGCCCCCACCCCCTCCCCACTTCCATAAAGGGCTCGAGTGTGTAGTCCCAGATCTGACTTCTATTAGCTTAGAAAACCCCCATTTTACTCTCAGAGACATGCCAGGTGTCTGTCACTGTGACAAGCACCTGAAACAGGAAAACTCCAAAGGAGGAAAAGGCTGACGTTGGCTCAGCTGGTGCCCAGCTGGCTCTCTTTGGGGCTGTGACAGGCAGATCACAATGGCAGGGCGCAGGTAATGGAAGAAAGCTGCTGGGCTCATGGCAGCCAGGAAGCAGAGAAAGAGGTGGGGCTGGATCCTGGTATTGCCATGGGCTCACCCAAGCGACCTAACTTCCTCCACTGGGCCCCACCTCCTAGAGGTCCTAGCACCGCCCAGCAGCGCCATCAGCTGGGGGACATTTAAGATCTAAACCACTGGGCTGGTGCCATGACTCAAGTGGCACAGCACCTGCCTAGAAAGTACAAGACCCTCAGTTCAAACCCCATACTGCCAAAAAAAAAAAAACCCCAGAAAACAGATCCAAACCTGATCCTATTTATTGTAAAATGGTTTTAAAAAATGGTCTAGTATGTTCCCCAGTACCCTCGTCTACATAAAAGCATGTAAACCGCACCCCTTACAGCCACTGACCAAACCTTGGCTGAACCCGGGAACTATGGGCCCCAGGCTTACGCTCGAAGCCGGAATTGTCCTGAAACCCCAGTTTCCAGGAAGTGGGTGTAGGATTGCCTATTTTTTAAAAATAAGGGCTGCAGGGGTGTAACTCGGCGACAGGGCGCAAGGCTCCCTGGGTCCTGTCCCAGCACAGCCAAAGAGAAAAGTCCAGTGCTTTCGGGCATGGCCCAAGTCTGTTGCCTCCACTGGCAAAAAGATGAGGGCCCGGTTAGGGTGTGAGGTGAGGACTGTCCTTCATGGAAGCAAGACGAAGGCAAGTGCACCTTTCAGCAGGATCGGAATCGCCCTCCGTGGCAGGGCCAGCCCAAGGGCCTACAGCGGGTTTTTGCGGACATCGATCATCCCTGGGCTGGCTCTCCGGGGTTCCCACCGGGGCTTGGACCAGGCCCCAAAGTTCCAGGCCAGGCCCACCTCACCCACAGGTAGCATCCGCCCCACCAGAGGCTCAGCGGCCTCCCGCGGCCTCATCTCTTCTGAGGAGCCCTGCTCCTCGCTGCACAGACTCGAGCGTTTCCACGTCAGGGGCAGCGGGGCGTGGACCAAGTCCCTGGTCTCATCCCGGGCCCGGGGGCTCCCCTCGGGGAGCGAGGCCTGCCAGGGAAGCTCCGGTGCTGCCGTGGGGGGCCCATCTTCGTTTCCAGGTCTGTTCTCCAGGCAGAGGCTCCTCCTCTCGCCCCCTGCACCAAAAGCAGTGTCCTGTCAGAAAGGGGTGGCAACACCGTCCCCAAGTCTAGCTTCCCCAATACCCCAGCATGACAGGCCACTCGAGAAATGAGGCGTCAGAGCCCCAGTGAGCGGACAGTTACCCCTGCTCTGGCCTGCACTCCCCCCACTGAGCTTCTGACTCAGCTCCTGGTTTAGCCACATGTGGCGGCCCAGCTCCTTCTCCAGAGGCTGGGTCCGGGCCTCGTACTGCCGCCTGCTGTCTGCCAGCCCCTCACCGAGGTGGTCTGCAATGGAAAAGCAGACGAGAGGTGAGGGACAGTGGGCGGGCGGGCAGCACCCCCACCTCCAGCCCGGGGCGAGCCATGGCCCACTGACCTCGACCCTGCTGCAGCAGCAGCCGCGTGTTCTGCTCGTGCTCCTTCTGCTGCAGGGTCAGCTGGCGGTCCATCTCCAGGCGCTGCCGCTCCAGGGCCACCTCCAGCCAGTACACCAGCCGCTGCTGCTCCTCCAGCTGCATCTCCAGCTCCGAAAAGGCAATCTGCTGCTGGTGCTGCTCCTCCCGGAGTGTCACCACCTGTCCAAGAGCAGCCAGCCTCAGCCCCACCACCAGCCCCTGCCTCCAGGGGCAGCTGGCAAACCTGGGGCCACAGCATCATAAGAAATCACCGGGTGGGGTTCTTCCCTGCCTCTGACGCCTTCTCAGCAGTGTTCGAGGCAGCCAGTTCCAAAGTATCAGAGCCAGCTTTCGAAAGGGCGTTTATCATCATCCCAGCCGCACACCAAGCTCCGGAGCTGGGGAAACGCCTATTGGCCAAGATTTCTCAGCCACAGCACGTGTTTGGGGCCAGATGGTGCTGACAGGTGTGGGGCCTTTCCTGTGTAGGCCTGTAGGCCTGATGGTTAGCAGCCTCCCTGGCCTCCCCGCCACTGTGACAACCAAAGGTGCCTCCTGATGTGTCCCTAGGAGCAAAAGCATCAGCTCTTCAGAAGCCCGACGTGGGCAAGGGGCCACCAGACCAGAAGGAAGGGATGGAACAGGCTTCAAAGAGGCGAGCCAGGCCAGGCCGGAGACTGGAGGAGGTCCTGACCAAGTCCCCCATGTAGGAGATCAGGGGTCCCCACTGGAGCCGCCGAAGGGGAGGCAGGGTGTGCGTGGCTGGCGGCCCACCTTGTCAAAGTACTTGCAGAGCAGCGCTCTGGTCTCCGAGGACGACAGGTAGCTGAGCTTGGCCATTAGGTTCATCTCACACTGGGAGAGCAGGGAAGCCGAGGCCCGAAGCCCCCGCTGGCGACAGGTGATGGCCTCGTTCTTGTACTCGATGGCAGCGTCCAGGGCCTCAATGGCCTCATCCAGCTGGAACAGCGTCCGCTCCTCCTGTGGGGATGGGCACGAGTGGACGAGGGCTGAGGCTCCAGTGTCCCCTCACCTGAGCCTGTCCTAACGGGGACGCTTGGGTCGCAGCCCAGCCCGGCGAGGGTGGGCTCTGCTGCAGGGCTGCGCTCCCAGGGGCGCAGGCTCCTGGGTGAGCTCCGCTCAAGGAGCTCCCAACATCCCTTCCAAGAGGAGCCCGGGGCTGGGGTTGCCCGAGGCTGAGGAGGTGCCGCGTGTATGCGGCAGGGCTCTCCGTGCTCAGAGCGGCACAGGTGGCAGAGTTGCGGGGTGCGCACGCGCTCTGCCGCGCTCAGCATGCGGGAGTCCAGGTCCCCTGGAAGAGCTGAGCATTGGCGCGGCCCGCCCGGGTCCATCAAGGGGGCCGAAGGGCCCAGCCAGCCTCACAGCCCCACCTGACCTCGCAGGGTCGAAAGCACACAGGGCACCTGTGTCCCCAGCAGTGAGCCAGGCTAGGGGGCTGAGCATGGCAGATGGACAGATGACAGGAGCGGAGGGCTGAGGACAGGGCCCGAGCCAGGTGGCCACTGAGGGCGTACCTCGGGCGACAGCAGGCTGCCCTGCCGCAGCTTGCTGTCAATCTCCAGGCGCTGCTTCAGCAGCAAGTCCTTCTCCTGGCGAAGGGTGTCGATCTCCCCGCGGATCTGCTGCTGGTTCTGGGCACTGCCCTGCCGCAGCTGCCCGCTCTTCTCGGACAGCTCCTTCTCCAGGTGTTCCAGTCGGCTGGACACTCGCACAATGTCCTCATTCAGGGCCTGAGGACGGCACCACCGCGGGTTATGGGAGGACAGGCACTGTCCTCACAGAGGTGACAGAACAGCCCACTCACTGGATGCCCCTCAAGAAACCCACAGTCCAGATGTCTGTTCGGAGGGCAGCTCAGAGAGTGGGGACCACAGGAACCAGAGTATGTGCGGAGGAGACAGCCCCGAGCGGGACCCGAACGGCAGAGGGAAGCCATCCTAATGACAGGAAGGGGCACCTTGACTGCAGGGGGTGGTGGGACTACGGGAAAATCTGGGCCAAATCCCAAAGGCCCTTCTGGGAGCCTAGTGTGGGAGGAGCCAAGAGCCCTGAAGGCCAAGGGAAGGTACAGATCACCAGCAGCTGCCACACCCCTGGGACTGCCGAGCACTCCGTGATGGCAGGGGCAGGGCTGCTGGTCGCTGAGTGTCTATGAGCCTTCGAGAATCTGCCCCATGGATCTGGACTGAACTGCATAGTCCCGAACCTCCACTCCAGGAGGAATGATGCCAGGTGGAGCCAGGCACCTGCCCAGGCCTGCCTGCCCCCAAAGCTGGCGAAGTCTCTTTCTAGTTGATCACACCACTCTCTACACCTTGCTCCTCCTCCCTCTGCCTACACAGGCCCAGAATGGGTGTTTCGTGAGGTGAAATGGACTGCTGGATGGGTACCTGTGTCCTGCACATTAGTTCCCGTGTCATAAACACGGGGGTCCGAGAGTTCTTGTACATCTGCAGCATACAATCTGCTAGGACAGAGCTTCACCTGTCTGGAACTTACCTGGCAGGGACATTCCCCAGAAAACCCTCACCTATCTAGACCTCACCTGATCTAGCAAAAAACTCACCTGGTGGGGTTATCACCTGGAGGGACTTAACTTGGCTAAACCTGCCCTGGCTGGACCTTGCCTACCAGGGCCTCATCTGGTTGACCTCGCCTATCAGGGCCTCACCAGTCTGCACCTTGCCTGGCAGGGTCTTGCCTGGAAGGACCTTGCCTGGCAGGGCCTCACCTGCCTCCACCTTGATTGTCAGGGCTTCCCCTGGCTGACCTCACCTGGCTGACCTCACCTGGCTGGACCGCAGGCGCTTGCTCTCCAGCCCCGTCTTCTCCTGCACCAGGGCCTCCTTCTTGGCCAGGATGACCTCCCGCTTATGGAGCTCCTCCCCCAGCTCCTCCAGCGCCCGCCGCTGCTGCAGCACCTTCTCCATCTCCTGGTCCAGCCACTTCTTCTGCTCCTCGATCTTCTGAGGGACAGTGGGGAGGCGAGAAGGGACCTCAGCACCCACCTCGGGCTGAGGAACTCACCCAAGGTCCCAAGGGGAAGAGTGGTGGACCCAGAAGCTGATGGTGGTGGGGGAGGACAGGCCAGGGCCTGCCAGCTGCAGAGAGCAGGCCCCAGGCACAGCCCTGCCCACCTGCTGCTGCTCCAGGCTGACCACAGAGCCGTTGCTGCCGCTGCGCCTCTTCCTCTGGAAAGCAGCAATCTCTTCTGTCTTGATCTTCAGGATCTTCTGCTGCTGTTCATGCTTCAGCTCCAGCTCCTGGGGAAGGAGCCCGGGGACAGGGCCGTTCAGGGTACCACATCCTCCCAGAGCCTGCTCAGTGATTTCCAAAAACCCAAGAGGGCCTGCCTCCTCCCACTGCTGCCTGGGAGCGTGCCCAGCCCCTGGGGCCAGCAAACATTCTTATCCAGTCGCCCGCATACTTCATCTCACTGAGCTCCCTACACCTGCCTGATTTTCAGAGACAAAAACACACTCAAGAGCGGCTGCAGGCCTGCTTTCTAAGATGGCATAGCTGTGACCAGTGGGGCTGGCTGGACACCAGGCCTGGATGGAGGAGCCTAACCTTGACACGGTGCTGCCGCTTGGTCATCTCTGTCTCCAGGCGCCGCTTCTGCTCTGTCTCCTCCCGAAGTCGCCTCTGCAGCTGGCCCTGCTGCTGACGCATGAGCTGCACCGTCCTCTCCAGCTCCTGCTGCCGTTTCTCGCTCTGAGCCGACAGCGACACCAGCCGCTCTGTCGCCTGCTTCTTCTCCTTCAGCACCTGAGACCCACACAGCTTCTGCTGGGCCATGTATGGGGACTACCGAGAGCCCGGCCCTCCCCAAAGGTAGGCAGGACCAAGGGATGATTGAGGGGACACAGAGTAGGGGAAAAAGTTGTGTGATGATAGACTAATAAAACACTAATAATGGTAGCTGCTGTGACATTTCCAATGCACTAAACTAAGTGCTCTGAATATATTAACGACCCTCACAAGTGTATGAAAAACCATGACTCTTATTGCCTCTATCAGGAAACTAAAGCACAGAGGGGTTAGGGAACTTGACCAAGAACACACACTAGTAAGTAACAGAGCTGGGATTCAAACACAAGCAGTCAGATTCCAGAGCCCAGATTCCTGACCACCCTACTGTATTAGCTCTTGGACCCCTGAACTAAGAGAGGAAGGAAGGAAGGAGGGATGGTGGAAAGATGGAGAGGTGAGTGGGATCTTGTGAAGGTTAAAAAACAGAAGACAAAAAAGAGGGTTGGGGATGTAGCTCAGAGTGGGGTGCTGGCCTAGCATACGCAAGGCCCTGGGTTCCATCCCCAGCCCTGCCCCGCATGGATGGACCATGCTATGGGCTGAATTGTGTTCCCACCCTCCAAATTCCTCCATGGAAGCTCTAGCCCCAGAATGTGACTGTATTTGTATTAAAGAGGTCATTAGCAAGGTCATAAGGGTAGACCCTAACCAATGGGACTACTGTCATATAAGAGGGGGTGGAGCCATGAGGAATACAGGTGGAAGGAGGAAAGGTAGGTGAGAAGATGGCCGGCTGTCTACAAGCAAGGAGAGAGCCTCAGGAGAAGGCAGACCTGTGGACACCTTGATCTTGGACTTCTGGCCTCCAGAACGGTAAGAAAGTAAACTTCTGCTGTTTAAGCCACTCCTTCCTCCCTCTCCCCCCAATCTGCAGCATTAGCAAAGTCACACGACAATTCACACACAGTCAGTAACGGGATGGAAGGGCGGTCACACGTGGATAGATGAACAGTTGGTCAACAGCTGATAAAAGGCTAGTCTGATGATGGCTTAGGTTAGATGGACAGAAGGACTGACAAGGAGACAGAAAGAGCAGGTGGGATGGAGGGACACTGAAGGTGAGCTTGGAGGGTGGATGTGTGGATGAGGGATTTTCCAGATGCCTGCCCTTACCCTCTCTTGACCTCCCATACGGTCCTTTGGACGGGACCTGACCCTGCCTCTGCCTCTGCCCCTGCCTCTGCCTCTGCCATGTTACAAGCCGAGCCAACCCCACCCTCTCTACAATCCCAGCCTCAGCCTAGGTCAGGAGGCAACTAGCGCCACCAGCCAGGGCTGGGCACAAGGGCCCCAGAGCCCACGTGTCCTGGTCTCAGGGACCCCCACCTCAGAGGCCAGAGTGGCCCTCGCCCCCTCTACTGCAAGGCCCTGGCACTGACCTGCACTTGGTTCTGGGCCGCGACCACCCTCTTGCGAAACTCCTGGAGCCGGGACTGCTCACCAGCGTCCCGGGGCTCCTTGCCCTCCAGCTCCCGCAGCTGCCTCTGGCCTTCACTCAGCTCTGCCCGTACCCGCTCAGCCTCCTGCTCCAGCTGCCGGATGCGCTGGCTGTGCTGCCGGTTCAGGGCCTGGGCCGCCTTCCCTGGAAATGAGTGGGGCTGCATGGGCACAGGGAGACCCTGTCCCAGAGCGGAAGTCTGGCCTCCCAGGACCTGAACACCTGCCTTTGCTCATAGGACTGGAAGATGTGGCATGGTCTGAAGACCCTGGCCCCTCAATCACACTCACTGTGCCCCCCAGGACCAGTGGAGATCCTGTGTCCAGTACAGTGCCCAGTGCAGGCACTTATCAATAACAGGAAGCGTGGCTCACTGAGAGCTGTTCTGAGCATCTACCCAAATTAACTCATTTCACTCTCAGGACCATCCCAGGAAGTACGTGCAATTACCCACTCAGAGACGAGTCGTCTGAAGCACAGAGGGGTTGCATTACTCGCTCGAGGTCACACAGCTAGAAGAGGCTGAGCTGGGTCTCACACCTAGGCCATCCGGCCCCTCCTCCTAAGCAGCCCACTGTTGAACCCTCTCCACACAGTAGTACAGGAGAAGTTGCGGGTGGAACATCACCCCCCTGGGGGGGCAGGGGAAATCCCCCAGGCCTGGGAGGCCACCCTGTGGCCACCCTCACCTGTGCGAACCAGCTCTCCAATGAGCTCCTCCTTTGTGCGAATGTTGATAGCCAGCTCCCGGATTTTCTGCTGGGCCTGGGCCAGCCGCCACTCAGAGGCCATGGCAACAGGGACCTGGCGGGTATGAACCCGAATCTTACTCCCACCAACAGCTGTAAGAGGCAGGACATCCAGATCAGGTGGCATCACCCAGACTGAGAGTTAAGGAGGCAGAGGAGGGGGAGGGGCTGCCCCAGGGTTACTGACTCAGCAAAGAAGGGGATCGGGAGGGGGCCCTCTGCACCCCACAGCTTACCTCTGGGGCCCAGGATGCCAGCATCCAGCTCTAAGGACTCTGGGCCCCTCCTGTCAGGTGGGCCCCCTGGGCATGGCCCTGACCGCTGGCTCCAGTGGGTGATTCCAGTTCTGGAAGGCAGAAGCCAGAGTCCGTCCTGCTCCCCAACCCCAGCCCTAGCCTAGTCAGCTCTCAGGCCTGGAGGAAGAGAGGCCTCTGGGCCTTCCAGCCAGCAGGGTCCAGGTGACCACAGGACCTAAGTCTGCCATAGCTCAGAGCTTGGCGGCTAGGGTCCCAAGAGCCACCTTGGAAGCTGAGACTCAGGCTGGGCCATACCACATCACAGCCACCCCAGTGAGACCTCTCAGCTCAGAGCCCACAGCACCCCAAGGGCTGGCAAGGCTGGGAGGGGTGGAGCCACTCTGAGACCCTAGAGGCCCCACCACTGCTGCCATCCTCCAGCACAGTGTGGCCATCCCAGTCCCTGTCAGACTGGCAGTGGGACTCAGTCACCTGTGCAGCTGCAAGGCCCGCCTGGACTTCTCCTCCTCGTCCTCCTCTGATGCAGCTGAAGAACCACTTCCCGGCCTGTCCACCTCAGCCAGCACCTCAGCTCCAGCCTCGCTGTCATTTGTCACCTGCTAGGGAGGCAGCGGGGGTTCAGGGCAGGAGTGCTGGCAAGGTGTCCTCCAGGAGTGCAGACAGTATGCACTGCCTTGAATGTGCCCCCGACATCTACCTCCTCACCTCCGAGATCCAGCCCAAGCGACACCCTGAATCTCAGGCTGAGATGTACCCTCCCTCCCCCGTCCTGGCTCCCATGGTGCCTGGCTCTCCGCAGGTGACCACCTAGCCTTTCTGTCTTGCAGGCAGGCCATGTGCACCAACATCTGCTGGACTGGTGGGTGTGCAACGGACTGGCGCCCAATTAAGTCCTCTGGGACCTTCAGAACTGAGACGACCCAGAGCTTCAAGGTGAGGTGGAAGTGGATTTGTCCAAAGGTCCCAAAGAGTAGAACCAGGCACAGGACTAGACCAAGACTCGGATCAGGGCTTGTGGAAGAAAAAACTTGCGAAGAGAACCACGCAAGCAGGTGGAGAGGTGAGTGCTCCGTCACCGAGGTGGATAACCTTCCCATTCACCGTCAGAAACCAAACCTTCTCTAACCTCCTTACCCCAAGCACCCTCCAGCACATCAAGGATGCTCAGTGGCACCAGACCCTTCTAAGACACCCCTGGGTCTCTCAAATCCTGGCCCTTCCTCTAGGGACACGTGAACCAGGCATCTTATAGCTCACAGCTGGTCCCACAGAAACAGGGGAGAGACACCCGCCCCGGCATCACCTTTGCCTTGCCTGGAGCCCAACCAGCCCAATGGGGCTCAGCAGTCACCCAGCCCCACCACCTCCTCACCTCTCCCCACTGCTCAGGGCCAACTTCATCTCCAGGAAGGCTGGCAGGGGGCACCATGCCCAGCACATGGGTGTGAGCACTTCCCAGGGGGGCTGTGTGAGGCCGAGGCACAAAGGAGCCGGGAGGCAGGCCCTGCAGGAGCCCCGGAGACCCCCAGCCGGGCCGCACTAGCTCCAGCTGCAGCCGCAACTCCACCATCTCCTCCTGCTGCTCCCGCAGCCGGTCACTCTGCAAGACACGGTCCAGGTGATGATGGGGACGCGGGTGCCAGAGGCAGTGCTGCTCCCTGACACATCTAGCGTAGAAACTGAAGAACAGTCCTGCCTGCACCCCACCTTCTGGGATAAAACTGAAGGTGTTCAAGCACCTGTGACACCTCAAGGTCCCTCCCAGACCCCCACCCTCATCACACTCCCACACCAGTCCTCCACCCCAACCTCTGCCATCTGGGGCACCAGGCACAATCCTAACCTGGTCAGGCCTGGCTCCAAGGCCCTTAGATCCCCTCTTCCATCCACGCTCACCACCACACAGCAAAGGTGTCCTCCCGCTCTGTTCTCCTCACCTCCACACTTCAGCTCATGTTGTACACCCCATTCTCCCCACTGTCCTCCACCGGCTCCCCTTCCCCACTCCAGCAAACTCCCTCTCACCCCAGGCAACTCACTGCAAACATTCCCCTCCCTCTTCCAGGAAGCCCTCCCTGCATGGGGAAGGGGCAGTCCACCTGCAGCTTGTACTGCTCCATGGCATCCTCCAGCGCTGCCAGAAAGTCTCTGTTCTCCTCCTCCAGGCGGGCCACCTGGTTCTGCAAGCTCAGCAGCTGCTGTGCCCCCTCCTCCTCCTATGGCACAGAAAGGCCTTAGGGGTGGGGTCTGGGAAGAACTTGGCACCCCAGCCCTTTCTCAGTCCTGCCATCTGCTCCCCACTTTTCCAAGATCTACCTGCAAATGGGAGCTCCAGACCCAATGGTGGGGAGGGCACTTGCGACCCTACCTGGCCTGAGGCCCTCTCTGCAAGCTATTTGGGCCATCTTCTGTCATTATCACCCAGGTTTTATTAACACTACTGTTATTGGGAACTTAGCCTTTGCCAGCATACTAGGCACTTGTGTGTAACAAGTGGTCCGATCATGTCCTGCGAGTGTCGTACTAAGTTTATTCCTATCCTACACACGGAGAGCCAGGGGCTCAGTGAAGTCCAGATAGTGACTGCAGACACAGAAGTGAGTCCGAATCCCGATTCAGCCATCTGAATCCAGAATGGCTGTCTGAAGACCCTCTTCCTCCCCACCCCACCTGGGCGCCGCACCTGGCCCTTGGCCACCTTCTGCCCTCCGGTGCCCTGCGAGGCGGGGTCCTCGGCGGAGGCGCTCTCGACGCCACTGTCGGGCCCGGAAGCGGAGCTCAGGGCGCTGCGCTCGCCCTCCACGGCGCACAGCCAGTCGCGCACCTTGCGCGCGGCGGCGCCGGGCAGCCCGGGCTCGGCCTGCAGCTCGCGCAGGAGGCTGTAGGCGGCGTTGGTGCGCGCCCGGTAGCGCGCGCACTCGGCGCCCAGGCGCGCGGTGGCCGCGGCGGAGCCGGCGACGGGGCCCGGGGCGCGGCGCCGCGGTGGATGATCCGCGTCTCGGAGCGGTGTCGCGGCGGCCCCCGCGCCCCGGGCCCCGTCGCCGGCTCCTCGTGCGCCCGCTCGGCCTCGGGCCGCCAGTTGACCGTGGCGCGGTTGCGGATGTTCTGGGCGCGGCTGGCGTAGTTGAGCGTGTGCAGGGTCTCGTCGAAGTCCGAGGAGGAGGGGCTGACGCAGGCGATCATCACCGTCTTCGCATTCCCGCCCAGCGAGTCCTTGAGGATCCTGGGCGCGCGCGGCCGGGCGTCAGGCCCCCGATCCCGAAGGGGAGACCCCGGCCTGCGCACCCCGGAGGTCCGGGGCGCCCCACCACCCCCTCCTGGGCGCAGGACCCTCAGCCCCGGCCAGGGCGGTGGCGGCTCACCGGGTGATCTTGGAGTCGCGGTAGGGGATGCGGCTGCTGCGGCGCTGGGGGTCCCCCAGGGCGCTGATGACGTTGCCCAGCGCCAGCAGGCTGCTGTTAATCTGCACGCTCTCCTTGAGCCGTTCGCCCGTGCTGCCCGTCTTGAGGACCCTCTCCGAGCCCGCCAGGTCCACGAAATGGAACTTGGAGACCAGCAGTTGGCCGGCGGCGGCCGGGGCAGGCGGCTGGGGGCGCGCCCCCGCTGCTCCAGGGTCACGGTGAAGACCGTGTGAGAGCGGCTGGACAGGCGGTTGAGGTGCGTGGCCCCCGTGTGTCGCGCTGCGTTGCCCATCTCCAGGAGGCTCAGCACCTCGTCCAGGCCCTCCACGTCCACCTCCTTCACGCCACACAGCACTGCGGGCACAGAAGACCGTGAGCCCCCCACCCAGGGGAGGCAGCAGAGCAGGACTAGCTAGCCCCCTACCTGTTCTTCCTGACCTAAGGGAACCCTCCCATGTGCAGGGGGTCCTGCCCATCCTGCTTTGGGCCTGGGGGCGGGGGGAGCACCATCTTCCCCCATGCCCACCTTAATACCTTTCACTCTGGACACAAGCTCTACTGAACTCAATGGAGACAGGAAACCAAAGCAAAGCCACCCAGGGCTTGGGTTTCCCCTGAGGAGGAGACCCTCGCAGAGAGATAAGCCACCCCTGCCACTAGCCACCACCCCATCCCAGTCAGTGGGGTCCCAGGGTTGCTTACCAACATTGCCACGGTCATCTTCCCGGAGCTGGATGTCACGGCTGGCAGTGCCCACCTCCAGCAGGTCTCGGAACTCCTCCTTGTACACTTCCAGGTAGGACACATGGACCAGGCAGTCCAGCAAGTCATTTTCATCAATAAGCTTGAAGGTTTCAGCCATGGCTCTTGGGATGATGCCCTGCTCATCTTCATGTAGGGAGGCTGGGGAGACACCACAGGGCATCCTGCCACCATGCCTGCGTATGGGCACGGCCCAAGGACCCTGGGTCCCCACCAGCAGGTGGAGGATGGGACCCCAGCATAGAAAAGGCAGTGGCAGAAGCCAGGAAAGGAGGACAGCCTGAGCTAGGGAGCTCCAGGATGAGCAGGTAGAATTATAGAATTCAGAACCCTTTCGTGACATTAGCACCCCTTCACTGTGTCCCTGACAGGTCATCAGACACCCCTGGCTTAACCACTCCCCCATTCAGGGAATTCATTGCTATAGCCCAGGCTCAATTAACTACAGGGCCTCCTAAGTTTATCCTAAGGAAGTAACTGGGGTGTTCATCCTAAGACCCAAAGAAGATCTGGTTAAATAAACCACTTTATTCTACAACAGAATGCCAGGTAGCTATTAAATAAAAAAATAAATAAAGTGAAGGGTAGGGGGTGTAGCTCATTGGTAAAGCAACTTGTCTAGCATGTGTGTGAGTTCAACCCTTAGCACCACAAAAAATAAAAAATAAGTTGAGGAATATTGGGGTTGGGAGGTAGCTTGATGCTACTGTGTTTGCCTGTCACGCACAAGGCCCTGTGTTTCATGCCCAGCACTGTAAAATAAGTAAATAAATTTTAAAAAGAATATTCAATGATATAGAGAAATGTTCATTATATGTGTTATATATAACATATAACTAAATATAAATACGTATATATATTTTGTGTGTGTGTGTGTGTGTGGTGCAGGGGATCAAACCTATGACTTCAAGTATGCTAGCAGCAATACCAGTAGGCTACACCCCCCAGACCTATATTATTAAGAAAATAAAGCAGAATAGAAAAGAATGGGTATAAAATAATTTCAGTTTTTAAAGTGTAATAATTTTCAGAAACTAGCATGCTTACAGTGATTCTAAAAGTGAGAAACTGATAATTTAATTGTTATCAATTAAGTTATTTTGTGCACACAATATACAATAAAAAGGTATGCTTTCAGAACTACCACGGTGTTTATATCTCCTCAAAATCCACATGTTGAGATCCTTACCCCAAGGTGACAGTATTAGGGAGTAGGGTGACCCAGGTCATGGGTGGAGGCCCAAGAATGGAGTTAGTACCCTTATAAAAAAGACTCGAGAGAGTCCTTTCTCTCTTCCATCACGTGAGCTTAGGGACAGGAGGCTGGCTGTGAGGAACCTGGCCCTCAGTTCTGTTGGCACTTTGATCTTGGACTTCCCAGCCTCCAAAATGGCAAGAAATAAATTTCTGTTATAAGCCACCCAGGCTTTAGACTATTCTGTTGTAACAGCCAGAATGCGCTAAGACAGTAACCTTAGGGCTGGGGGTGCAGCTCAATGGTAAAGCGCTTGCCTAGCATGCATGAGGCCCTGGGTTCAATCCCCAGCACTGCATTAAAAAAAAAAAAAGTAACATCAGAGTAAACAGCTCATGCTTCTTATAAGCAGGGCAGCTCCTTGGATTGGTCGGACCTCTCTTCCTCAAAATCCTGCTGGCAAACCTCACTGGGCCAGCTTGCAACCTGCTACGAATCACCCAAGCACAGCTCTTCCAAAACACACAGCTCCCCACCGCTCCACTGCAACAGATTCCTCTTGGCAGTATCAGACAACTTCCAGAGACATGTCAACTTCCACACCCCTCCCCCGCCGAGGTCCCAGAGTCAGGCGGTGTGGCCCATCCCATGCCATCCCATCCCACCTCACCCCCAACAACCCTTCCTGCCTGTCCTGCCCAGCCTACCTACATGGTGGGGCCCAGCTTGGGCACGAAATCTGTCCTCCGTCCCCAGCATCCTCACCTTCAACAGGGAGGGGGGCAGGGACAGAAATTCAGGAAAACAGAGAGGCCCCACAAAGCGGGCACAGGGCCACAGGCAGAGTGACTCACCCACACTGGCCTCTCCCATGGTGTACGTCTTTCCTGAGCCTGTCTGACCATAGGCAAAGACAGTGGCATTGAAGCCCTCAAAGAAAGCCTCGATGAGGGGCTGCACGCAGGCCTGGTACACAGCCTCCTGCCCCGTGTCCTCTGCCAGCACCATATGGAAGCCAAAGTGGCGGTTGCGCCCCAGGGTGACTTGCCCCTGCTCAGGCTCCACCTGCAGGCAGCTCTGATGCCCGTGTAGCAGCTCCTTGGGCAGCAGCGGGCGGACTCGAAGGGCCACCATTACTGGGGCCTCCTCGGCCCCTGGCAGCCTCTGGGCCTCCAGCCCCATGTTGAGGGAGCTGCAGAGAGAAGAAAAGGCCCTTGCCATCAGTACTTGTCCCGCAGGTGACCGGGAGGCAGGTCCACAGCTCTGATCTTGGAGGGATGGGGTGCAGACAGAGTTCAGAACATCTCTGTCCCCAAATACTGCTGGGACCACGCACTGTGTCAGCTCAAGCTCCCACCACAGGCAAAATAAGGCCTGCCACTGGAACCCGAGGGCAGCGCACCACACACCACAGCACACAGGGAACTCCTGTCCCCAGCAGCCACTGGGTTTCCCAGTCTCTGTATGTCACATCACTGAAGTCCACCCTCACCCTCTAAAAGGCCTTCAAAAGCAAGCTCCCACCCCCCAATCCTGTCAATTCCATCTCTAAAAATCAAGTTCACCCACTGCTCTCCATCCTGCGATCAAAGGCCTGGTCCTGCTGCTGACACTTTGATGCTATGACTTATGGGTCTTCCCTCTGGCTCTGTCTCCCTGACCCCCTCATCACAGCAGCCAGGGGATAGCTTTTTCAAAAGTGGAAACACAAATCATGTTCCTCCCCTACTTCATCCCCACAAAAGCTCCCCACAGTCCTTGGGGTTCAAGCATTAACAGGAAGAGAAAGGCAAGCCTTAAAACACGCACTCCCTATCCACTGGACCCCAATACTTTCCTCACCTCTCTGCCCAGGTACCGCTGTATTACCAAGGCGGCTTCATCTCTCCCTACTTAGGCCAGGCCCACCCTCTTCAGAGAGTCAGGGAGTCTCCTGTGCCTCCCCCCCACCACCACCCTCACACACCCAGCCCTGTGCGCTGCCCCATCCACCACTGATCGCACAGATGATATTACCAAATTACCGGCCTATCTCTCCATCTTCCAAACCAGGAGCTAAAAGGCAAGGACTTTCTTTGTCCCCTTTGAGCTCCAGCGCCCAAGGTCCAACAATGCGCCATAACAGTGGTGAACGATCTTCATCCAAGGAGTTCGTCCCATCTTGCGCCTCTTTATCCTCGGTCCCCACCTCCGCACACAGCACCTCACTTATTATTTACTGTTCAACTCGCTCAATCTTTGAGTCCCCGTTAGGTGCCTGGCCCTGGCTACCGTGGGGTCCTCCGCGCATCCCCATCCTCGCAGGCTTCCAAGGCGCCCTGACAAGTCCTGCTCGCGCCCGGGACCGGCACTCCCGGAAAGTTTGAGGAAGTGATTACAACTGTGCATGGAGCCCACCCTCGCAGCCTCGCTCCTCCCGGCCAGGCCCGGGATGCCGGCCTCGGCCCCCATATTTAGGGAAGGGGCCGGGCCCTTGCCGGAGAGCAAGGATCGGGACGCTCAGGCCGGGTCAGGACTCTGCAGGCGAGCGGGCTCCTCGGGACCCCCCAGCCCAGGCCCGCGAGCGCGCGCCTCCCGGCCCTCGTCCCCCCCACACACACCCCCGCCCCAGCCCACACCCACCTGCGGGGTGCGAGCGCAGACCCCGCGGGGCAGCCACACTCCACGCCCCTGCGCGGCGCGCTCCGATGCCGTCACCCGGACCCCCGCCCCCCCAACATCCCTCCCCTCACCCGCAACTCCGCCCGCCCCCGCGCGCGCTCGGGGGGCGGAGGCACGAGCCGGGCGGCGCCGCCTAGTCGGCCCGCAGATAGGGCGGGGCAGGACCTGAGCGCCCGGGAAGGGGGCGGGGCTGAGCTCGAGGGGGCGGGACGGGGGGCCTGAGTGGGCGTGTCTGAGCCCGAGGGGGCGGGGCGGAGATCAAGGGGCGGGGCCCGAGAGAGCATTCCTGAGCGGAAGGGGGCGGGCCTCAGCCCTAGGGGGCGGGCCTGGACTGGTGGGGGCGGGGCTTGGTCCGAGAGGGCGGGGCGGGATCCCAATGGGAAGACCTGGAGAAAGAAGCAAGCATCGTCACCTAGCATCTCCGGCGCCTTAAAAGTCAAGTCTCCAAAGGGACTGTCCTCTGCGTAGTCCCTTCTTTCTTCACCCCTCTGTTTTCCTCTCCCAGTGTCAATCCCCAAAAAATCCAATAGAAATTTCCATCTCTCCACATTAAAAATACTTCCTTGATTATAAGACTAATTTTCTCACATTTTTCATCTTTTCACTGGCTCGCATCTTAGTCATTACCAAGAGAAACTAGCCACCAAAGAGAGGGATCGAGTGGTGACCACGTGCACCCTTGAGCAGCTGTGTCTTCACCTCTGGGGCCTCAGAGGGATTGCTTACATTGAGAGCACCAAGCAAGGCTGAATTTTAATGGACATCTGAAAATAGCCGGGGTGTCACTCAAATACTAGCACTTGCCTAGCACCCAGGAGGCCCTGGGCTCCATCCCCAGCACTGCAAAACAAAAACAAAACAAAACTCTGGAAACGTTTGTCACTTAAAATGGCATTAAAGAAATGGAACTCTGATGTAGGAAAAAATTAATATATTAAGTACACAAAGAAATTAAAAGCTGTAGCATTCACCAGTTCTCTTCGAGATAGACGTATGTCAAGGAATTTTCAGCCTCAGGTAACAAGAAGCACAACTTGAAATGACTCCAACACTCAGGCCACTTGTCTCACTGTTAGCTGAGAGGAGGATTCCCAAGCAGATTGGTGGGGGGCCACCCAGGACCCAGCTCTCCCAGCTCTCCCAGCTCTCCTCTCTACCATCCCCTTTGGACCCAAAGCACCCAGAGGGAGAGAGGCTCTGTCATGTGATGCACTCTTTGGTTCAGGGGATCGCTTCCTCTTTTCCTTTACATCTTATATACCACCTGGCAAAGCCTGTCCACCCCTGAGCTAACCACAGGCTGGCGATACCGTAATTGGCTGCAATCATGAGACAACACGGATGTTAGGAAGTCATCCACAAACACATCCTAGAATTTTCAACTAGGAGAGAGTTGCTGGCTGATTTGTGCATCGTGAAGGACCTTCATTAGGATACCAAACATCTACCTGTTAGGAGCACTGGAGTTACCAGAAGCTGAGGTACTCCCTACAAAACAGAACTCAATTAAGGAGAAGCTAAAGATTCAAGCAATTAAGAAATGTGTTGAGTGCTCTCTGACGTACAATAGATTTGCACTGTTGGTCCCAAATATTCCAAATCAATTGGGGTCCCGAGCAGGAATGTCACAGAGCAGCCAGCCACCAGGATGACCAAAGAGAGTCATTTAAACTCTGAACACAATGACACCAAACACCAAGCTTAGATCTTAGTGTACCAAGTGTAACGAAAGATGATAATGACCAGGAAACATCACTCCAGGAGAAGATGGAGAAAGAGGAACTCGCCCGGTGGGGCAGAGGACGATGGGTCAGGGCACTCGTGCTTCAGCCTGGAGAACTTGCTTTGACAGGAAAGGAACAGAAGTGCAGTCCACATTATTTAAACTACTCCAAAGTGCCTCACTTTGATCAGCAAAAGACGGGACTGTAATGTGACACAATTTTAAGCAAATTGAAAAGGCAGAGCTTTTCCTGAGACTGTTGTGAAGGGGGAGTTGGGCAATTAGTAGTTTTCTTAAAATGCTTTAAAGATGGCTAGTGAAAGCCCACCGAACCCTTGAGGATCTAGGTTTTAGAACATCTATTTCAGCTTCCGTTGTGACAAGCAGAAAGCCACTGTGACCAAAAGCAAAGGCAGAGAATGCAGTGACCGTGTCTTGGGCCATGTTTTATTGTCTATGCAGCTCTGCTACTCAGTGGGTTCTTTATCTCAACCTCAAAAAGGAAGCATCTTGTAAACTGTTTGCCCCATGACGAGACTGAACTGTCACAGGACCTGTAAGAAAGCTTGTTATATATTAAAGTTTAAATATGCATCTGTTATTCAGATAATTACAACAGAGGGCTGGGATTTATGAAAAGAAGTTACAGCTGGTGGCTCACGCCTGTAATCCCAGCTACTCAGGAGGCAGAAGTCAGGAGGATCACGGTTCGAAGCCAGCCCAGGGCAAATAGCTGCGAGACCGTAGCTCAAAAAAGAAAAAAAAACCCGTCACTAAAAAGGGCTGATGGAGTGGCTCAAGGTGAAGGCCCTGAGTTCAAGCACCAGTACCACAAAAAAAAAAAAAAAACCCAGAAGTTAGAAAGATGCTCTGCTGTTAGTACAGGATGTTTTTATTTATAAATAGTAGAACATTGGTAGTTGAGGAACGGAGCTAACAAGCTGAATTCAGAGAAATTTTCTTTTTCTTTCAGTACGAAAAGCTGTGTTGCTTTCCAAAGCCAAAAATCAAAGTGTTTTTGTTGGTGATGGTTAAAGGATGAATGAAAAAACTGATGTATCTTTGAGTGTAAAAACTTAATATGGGGAAAAGAAGAAACATTGTATTTCAGACCAGTGTGGTAGGGCATGTCTATAATCCCAGCCTACTCAGCAGGCAGAGGCAGAAGGATCTTCAGTTCAAATTAGCCCTGGCAAAGTTAGCAAGTCCCCACCCCAAAAACGAAACCAAAAGCTATGGGTGTGGCTCAAGCGGAAAAAGTCCACAAGAACCCTGGGTTCAACCCCCAGAACCAAGGGGGGAGAAGAAGTCACATTTCACATTTCAGAGGAGTTATAATTATAACTACACTTGTAACAATTAAGTTGTAAAGAAAATAAAATTAAAACTTTTACATTACACTAAAAATTTTAAAGAATTTTGTGGTGTCGGGTTCATTGGAACTATCAATATGAGTTCATGATTTGATTTGATTTGATTTGATTTTGGTACTGGGGTTTGAATTCAGGATCTACACCTTGAGACACTCCACCAGCCCTTCTTATGAAGGATTTTTTTGAGATGGGGTCTTGCAGAACTATTTGCCTAGACTGGCTTCCAACAGTGATCCTCCTGATCTCTGCTTCCTGAGTAGCTAGGATTACAGGCGTGAGCCACCAGTGCCAGAAAGAACTGGAATTTTTATGGTTAGAAAATTCAAATTGTTATAGGCCTGAAACCACAAAGGACCTAACTTAAAGGGTTCCTACCAGCCAACTTGTGACAAATCAGGCATTCCAAGAGCAAAAAATAACCATAA